GGTTGGCCACACCCGGGCATCGATCAGCCTCCCATTGTGGTGTCTGTACCAGATGCAAATTTCTCTGGTACGGCCATTGGTAAGATTCTCAAATGACGTAATCGAAAATAATTACCTATTATAATCACCCAGAAATGTCTGTCCGTCCCGCGCGTGACGTCACTCCACATGAGGCCCACCCCCCGCGTAACGTCACTCCACATGAGGCCCGCCCCCCTCATTAATAATCATGAGCGGGTGACGTCACTCCACACGCCGCACCCCTCCCCAATAACCATTAGCGGGTGACATCACTTCACATGGGGACCCCCCCCCCCCCCCCCCCCAAATTAATAATCATGAGCTGAACAATTTTTCTATTGAATATTTCAGATTTATTGCAATAGACACCCGTCCTTGGACGGGCAAATAAGTTCGTGTCAAATAGTGCCAGACTCCCCGGCCACGCAACTTTACTCGGACCTGCCCACGATCATGAATGCCGTGAATGATTGCGAGCAGAGGGTCAAGGACGCCAAAAGCACAAATAATAACCCAGAGTCCTGGCCTATTGATGGTATCTTAGGTCTTGACCAGGTCACTATAAGTGCTGTTGGAATTCTCTTCACCTCTGGATTGGCAAACAGATAAAGAATGTGGCATCCGTGCTGGTTCACTCCGGTCTGAAACCTCTCCTCATTCATACACAAAGACACAAACACAGGTACACAAAGACACACACCTATACACAAACACCCATTAACAAATACGCACACACAGACACCTATACACAAATACACACACCTATACACAAATACACATACACAGACACAAACACCCATTAACAAAGACGCACACAGACACCTATACACAAATACACACATCTATACACAAAGACACACGCAGAAACACCTGTACACAACAACAACCGCCATTCGCCACTAAGTGGCGGTGACGTCACCACGACGGTGGTGCCAGGCTGTGTGCACCTTGAGGCCACGTGAAGTGTCGAACGCCCGCTGGCAGGAGGTCACGTGGCAGACCCAGGTGCCACGGGTCGACTGACTGAGATGACCGAGATGACGGGCTGATGCGCCATCTGTGCCCCCTACTGTGCCAACTTGCTGTGCTCTAGCCACCCGGCGCTCCGCTCGTTGTTGTGAGCGTTGCTCCTCAGCCCTCCGTTGTTGTTGGAAGGCGACTGCCTCCAACTGCCCAGTAGCGTCCCATATACAAAGGCAAAGATCCCCCGTATAGCCTGAATAGACTGTTGGGGCAAGTGCTGTTAGCGAGCACCTATAAAGGATGGCACAGAACACGAGAGTGTGGGTGGCCAGCACCACGCCCGGCCGCCTTTGTCTCCGGAGTGGCGATGTTTACACACCGCACCAGGTACTGATTTGAGGCTGACTCGACCTAGGGGAGGCCCATGGTAAGGTGAGCGGGTAAAGTGTGGGGACTCGGCCACGTTGTGATAGAGAGCAGCGTTGGGGGCCATTGCTGCGGGCGCTGCGATAAACAACGAAAACGGACTGTGACGAAAGCCACCTGTCATGCAGATGATTAGCCAATCAGATGACGCTATACTCACCAATGGGATTTGTATATCTATGAATCGACTGGCAACGAATCGACGCATCGATTGACACAAATTACGAACAAACATTGAGCTGGCTAACGGATCGACTAAGCAGAACTGAAATAATTTCACCTCGATTCACGATCCACAAGACCATATTTTTAAAAATGTTATCAGGTAAGGCCCACTGAGCTGCATGGCTCTTTTTCAGAAACGATCTGGCCACAAATGATTGCTCAACGAAGTGGCTTATCATGTGGAAATGAAAAGCAGCCAAATACTCTAAACGCGTGATGTCGATTCCAAATATGGAGGGGGAAAAACCGGAGGACCCGGATACAAATCCACGCGACCACGGCGAGAGACACGCAAACTCCAAATATACAGCAGCAGCAGGCGTCTGGGTCGAGATCGAACCCACAACCTCCTGTATACCAGGCGAGGTAGTTAACATCTCCTGGCCACCGTGATGATGATGAGAGAGACTTTGCAAACTCAAAATATACAGCAGCAGGCGTCAGTGGTCGAGATCGAACCCACAACCTCCTGTATACCAGGCGAGGTAGTTAACATCTCCTGGCCACCGTGATGATGATGAGAGAGACTTTGCAAACTCAAAATATACAGCAGCAGGCGTCAGTGGTCGAGATCGAACCCACGACCTCCTCCACACCAGGCGAGGTAGTTAACATCTCCTGGCCACCGTGATGATGATGAGAGAGACTTTGCAAACTCAAAATATACAGCAGCAGGCGTCAGTGGTCGAGATCGAACCCACGACCTCCTCCACACCAGGCGAGGTAGTTAACATCTCCTGGCCACCGTGATGATGATGAGAGAGACTTTGCAAACTCAAAATATACAGCAGCAGGCGTCAGTGGTCGAGATCGAACCCACGACCTCCTCCACACCAGGCGAGGTAGTTAACATCTCCTGGCCACCGTGATGATGATGAGAGAGACTTTGCAAACTCAAAATATACAGCAGCAGGCGTCAGTGGTCGAGATCGAACCCACAACCTCCTGTATACCAGGCGAGGTAGTTAACATCTCCTGGCCACCGTGATGATGATGAGAGAGACTTTGCAAACTCAAAATATACAGCAGCAGGCGTCAGTGGTCGAGATCGAACCCACAACCTCCTGTATACCAGGCGAGGTAGTTAACATCTCCTGGCCACCGTGATGATGATGAGAGAGACTTTGCAAACTCAAAATATACAGCAGCAGGCGTCAGTGGTCGAGATCGAACCCACAACCTCCTGTATACCAGGCGAGGTAGTTAACATCTCCTGGCCACCGTGATGATGATGAGAGAGACTTTGCAAACTCAAAATATACAGCAGCAGGCGTCAGTGGTCGAGATCGAACCCACAACCTCCTGTATACCAGGCGAGGTAGTTAACATCTCCTGGCCACCGTGATGATGATGAGAGAGACACGCAAACTCCAAATATACAGCAGCAGGCGTCAGTGGTCGAGATCGAACCCACGACCTCCTCCATACCAGGCGAGGTAGTTAACATCTCATAGCCCCTGTGATGATGAGAGAGACTTTGCAAACTCAAAATATACAGCAGCAGCAGGCGTCATTCCCGATCGTCTCCTAAGGCCCCCCCACCCGCCCCCTCCGAGTTTCATTCTCCTCGTGGGCTTGGGGTGGGGGGCGGGGCGGAGTGAGGGGCGGGGCCGGGTGGTGCTGTGACGTCACCCTTCTATCAGACCACCGCGTGCACACATTGCCGTTCCGCCGTGGGGGCGACATTCGGCTCGACACATTGAAGGCTTAAGGTTTATTGGCGATTGTTGTTTTTGTTCCACCCTTGTCATTGTTTGCCGTCGCTATCTGTTACAATCTCTCCGTGTTTATAGCATTAGGTTGTGGGATTATTTATTTATTATCCCCAACACCCACACCCCCTGTAGTCGATTCCCATTGGGACCATTTTTACGAGAGCGCCCTCCGGTCAATCAGAGGTGGCTTGCGGATTCCCCGCCCCCCCTACGCCCCCCATCAGTCATCACGAGCAGCATAACAACGAGGTGATGACGCAACAACAACAACAACAATCAAACAGGAGGAGGTGGTGATGACGCAACAACAACAACACACAATCAAACAGGAGGAAGAGGAATCTTGTCAAAGGGACCCAACTGGAACAAAAACCCCACACACAGCGGGACAGAAATTTTCCGCGTCGGTTTTCGCGAGCAATGTTATCCGGAGTTATACAATTTATATGCACAGATTAACCCCCACCCCACCCCACTCTTCTGGCCTTCGCACCTGATTGGCTTGCAAGTGACGACGTCACATCTACCCCCCCCCGCCTGCTCTATATAAGACCGAAGCAGCAGCAGGAGGAGGATTTCCCCACAACGCTCTGGCTATCGCCTGATGCTGCTGGTTGTAGTTGTTGTTGTAATTACCGGCGAAACGTCACCAGGTGCTCGAATTGTAAATGTTGTGATGGGTTTTACTCACCAACACACAACCGGTGTGTGCTCAACTCGTAAACTACACTATACACTACACTATACACTACACTACTATACACTACACTATACACTACACTATAAACTACACTATAAACTACACTATACACTACACTATACACTACACTATACACTACACTATATACTATACACTACACACTACACTATAAACTACACTATACACTACTATACACTACACTATAAACTACACTATAAACTACACTATACACTACACTATACACTACACTACTATACACTACACTATACACTGCACTATACACTACACTATACACTACACGATACACTACACCATAATTGTAAATGTTATCGTGGGTTTTACTCACCAACACACAACCGGTTAGTGCTGAACCAGTAACTAATTGGCATGTTTTGTTTACGTGACAACCCCTTACTAATTGGGCTGTGTCGGGTGGTGGCAGGTTTAACGACACATTTATATTTACGTGATCTAACCCAACAAAAAACCTCTATTATAGATCACCCATAAAGTTAACATAACCTTTGGACTTTACATTACCCATGGACTTGACATTACCCATGGACTTGACACTACCCATAGACTGGATATTGCCCTCAGACTAACATTACCCATACATGGTGTTGCTGTACCAGTAACGAATTGGCACGTTCTGTTTACGTGACAAACCTTACAAACTGGGCTGTGTCGGGTGGTGGGTTTAACGACACAATCTAACCCAAAACAACCTCTATTACGGATAGAGATTGTTGTGTACTCACGCAGGGTTACCATAACCGATCTACGGATGACGTCTCACGCGAAATATATTGTCGGGGGGTGGCCTCTGCCACCCAACAGGAACTGTGGTCGGGAGTTGTGGAGTCAGGTGAGACACGAGAGGAAGTGGCTCGCGTCGGACGAGGATGGAGACCCAACCCAGGTGAGAACAGAGACTCGGCAGCAGGGGATTGGGTCGTGTAGCACCAGTTTTATTTTGGGGATAGGGGGGGGGGGGCTGAGCCCCCTTGTAGACTGAGCCACACGCGTCACTGCTCAGGCTCCGCCGGGCGGGAGAGGGGGCAGAGCTCCACGCTCCGAGCACTCCACCGCCCCCCCCCCCCCCGCCGACTCTGCGGATAACCCATGAGCCACCGCCGCCGCCGCTCCCAGTGCCGTAACATTACAAAAACACGCGCCCACACTCGCTATCGTAATCATCATCATCATTAGTAACGCGTATTCTCTTACTTGTAAAATATAACTTAAAAAAACGAGTTTGTCACGCCTGCGCTGGGAAGCGTTGAGCGGGCCCCCTGACCCCTGCCCTCCCCCCGCCCCGCGGCGAGGACCCCCGGTCCGCTGGCCGAGTGGGGGTCGCGGGGGGCGGACGAACACCAGGAGCGGTTGAGGGGGGGGGGGGCGTTCGGAGTGCCGCACGCGGTGGAAATGGCGCCGCCACGAAGCCCGGACCGCGCGTGTTCGCTTACCCCCCCCCCCCCCCCCCCCGAGCGTTGGGCCGCACGGTTCTCATGGCCGAGACCTCATGGACCGGTCCATGGAGCCAGGATCTGTGACTCATCGAGCTCAGGACCAGGGTTTGGGATTCTTGGGGCACAAGACCTTGAGATTGCAAAACTCTGGAACAGGTCCACGGAGCCAGGATCAGGGACTCGAGGTGACCTCAGGACCACGGTTCAGGAGAATTATGAAGCTCACGATTCTGCAATCTGATACTTCTGAAACAGGTCCATGGACCCAGGACCAGAGACTGCACACCCAAGGCCCCTGAACCCTTGAAACCAGCACCAAGACCTGCAACGATACTCTTTGGTTCTTTCGGTAAAGTCACGTAGGTGATCTCCGATCTTAGACCAGAGCCGAAGATCGGAGAGGCCCAGACTCGGAAGCAGATATCCAAAAAAGGCCAGGGTCCACAAATCCACACACTCCACGGGACGACCTCGCTCGCTCTGTGTTGCACCAAATGGCGCAGGGTTGGCGTCTGTGTTTAATCCCTTTGTGCATCCCCGTATATCCCCTTGTGTGCCCCTCCCCTACCCCCCCTACCCCCCCCCCCCCACCGTGTGTCCCCATGTCAGGGTTGTCGTCGCCTTTGTGCTCTATAACCATGGCGCTGATTGTCACAGGTCGGAGCCCACAAATAAATACAGAAGCGTAGCGTTGCGCCGCTGGAGCGAGATCGTCGCCTCCCCCATCACCGCCACCATCATCCTCAGCATCATCATCATCATCATCTCCATCATCAACACCACCATCTCCACCATCCCCATCAGCATCATCATCATCATCATCTCCAACATCAACACCACCATCTCCACCATCCCCATCAGCATCATCATCATCATCTCCATCATCAACACCACCACCACCATATCCACCATCCCCATCAGCATTATCATCCCCATCAGCATCATCATCTCCATAATCAACACCACCACCACCACCATCACCATCCCCATCAGCATCATCATCATCTCCATCATCAACACCACCACCACCATCTCCATCAGCATCATCATCTCCATAATCAACACCACCACCATCACCATCCCCATCAGCATCATCTTCATCTCCATAATCAACACCACCACCACCACTATCTCCACCATCCCCATCAGCATCATCATCATCTCCATCATCAACACCACCACCACCGCCACCTCCACCATCCCCATCAGCATCACTATCTCCATCATCTATACCGCCATCGGCGCCACGAGCAACTCCACCATCCCACATCTCCATAATCGACACCACCACCACCATGAGCTCCGCTATCCACTCAGTTTCCGCCATCTCTACCAACCGAGACACCACCAGCAGCATCGTTGCCACCACCACCACCACCACAGTCACCACCTGTACCGCCATCAGCACCGCTGCGGCCACCAACGCCACCAGCGCGGTGTCCCAACGTCAGCACCGAGACCGCCATCATCGTCAACCACAGTTAGCGCCATGGGGAGAGGAGGGTGGTGGGGAGATATTGCCGCCCAATTTGTCAGACTGACGGGGAAGGGGGGTGGGGGCGGCAAAACAATACTTCTTCAGCCGCCCACTAAAACTCCCTGCAGCCGAGGAGGGTGGCGGAGTGGTGAGCGCACTGCGCTGTGAATCTGGCCACCCGAGTCACAGCCACCACCAGCGGCACCGAGTGAGATCTGAACCGGTCCTGAGCACCCCCTCTCGCCCAACCACGCCACCCGCTCTCCGATCCCCCCCAGCTCCCCCCCGCCACCTTCAGCCCTACCGGCACTGACCAGCGCGGTGAGGTATGGTCAAACAACCCCCCCATGACCGAAACAACAACGGGGGGAGGACCCTCAATTGGGCAATGCCTGCCAAAAATCAACGTAACGTTTACTGCGAAAAACGAATAATTATGTATATGGTTGAGTAACAACGTGGTGTACATTCGTTAGCTTTGACACGGTAGCACACGGGGGGGGGGGGTGCAGCCGCCGGGGTCTCGGTGGATCGGTGGAGTCGCGTCTCCTCGGCTACAGCGCCACCCCCCCCCCCCCCCGGCACGGAGGAGACCGCTCCCTCACCCCACCGCCGCACATCGCCGAAAGACGTCCCCGCGTCGCTTCAGCCCCTGCCTCTGTCCCTGCCCCCCCTCCCTCCACCATTCACCCCCCCTGCCACCCCCCCCCCGCACCCATTTCCATCCCCATGCCGCAAAGTGATTCTCAGCGCCGTGCCCCCCCAACTTGTCAAACAGTGGGGCCATGCACACGGTCATCACCGCCATCAGCATCGGCACCATCGCCATCAGCATCGACAGCATCGACACCATCGCTATCAGCATCGGCACCATCGCGTTCACCATCCACACCATCAAGACCTCCATCAGCATTTGGCAAAATGAACACCAGCACCAGCACACGCCTGCACGCACGACGCCCTCTGACCCCAACATGGGCTCTCCCTCGCCCCTCTTCCCATGTGACCTCTTGACCCCCTGTCCTCATTATTTTCTCTCCGCTTTCTGTAACATCAAGCGACCCCCCCGCTTCCCCCCCCCCCTTCCACGGGTGACCCACACCGGGCGAGCGGGTGGACATCGGGGGTCGTGGCGATAGTTCATGGGAGGGGGTAAGCGAATTAAGTGGAGCGTGCACGCTCATGGCTCTCATAAATGGTGTTGCTGCTGTTGTCGCCCTTTCCTCTGGGTGTGTGCGCACGCGCGCGTGTGTGTGTGTGTCACGGTGTGACCGTGCCACTGGGTGTCCGCGCGTGTGTGTTCTGCGGAAGTGTAGCGGTTGTCGCGGTGGGCCACAAACCCGGTGGCTTCGATCTCGGCTCACGACCAATTGACGGTGGCGAATGTTCTAACCAGTCACTGGGCCTGCCCTAGGTAGGCCTCAGCCCGAAATGAGTAGCTGGTGCGGTGTGTAAAAACATCGGCACTGGGGAGACAAAGGCGGCCGAGCGTGGTGCCGGCCACCCACCCCCATGCATGTGACGTGCCGGCCTTCACAGGCGCTCGCTAACAGCACCTGCCCCAGCGCGGGAGGGTTCAACCGGACCGCGGTTGAGTGCGTGGCCGCCCCCTTGCCTGGAGTAGACCCCAAATGCGTGCCGGCGTACGTCGGTGACTCTGGGAGTGTCGCTCGGTGCGGCGACGGCGTGCATGGTCGGCTGCGTGCGTGTGTGGGTAGGGCATTGCCGACTGCGTGCGTGGAAAATTGTGGCCAGGGTGTGACAACGGTGTGGCGGTGGAGGGTTGCCAGGGCGGGCGGGCGGGTGGGCTCATTCGTTGTCGCACGCCACCGCGTTGAGGCCTCCCTCCGCGTGCACGGCCAGGTCGATGGGGGGCCGGGGGCCGCGGTGTGGGGGGGCGCCCCCCCCTGCCGCGGCCTCGTTGGCGAGGACGACGTTCCTCAAGCAGCCGCGGAGCCCCGACGAGAAATGGCCCCCCGTGAGGGTCTCCGTGTCCGGGGCACCTCCTGACACACCACCACCACCACCACCACCACACCACCACACCACCACCACCGCCACACCACCACCACCCCACCACCACACCACCACACCACCACCACCCCCACACCACCACCACACCACCACCACACCACCACCAAACCACCACCCCCACACCACCCCCACACCACCACCACCCCACCACCACACCCTCACACCACCACCACACCACCACCACCCCCACACCACCACCACCCGGCACACACGGACAAAGGCAAAGGTAAATATCCCCCATGTAGACTTAAAAAGGGTGGGGGGGGGGGGGGTGGTGACAGCAGCAGTGGTGAGGGTGACAGCAGCAGTGGTGAGGGGGGGCAGCAGTGGTGTGGGGTTACCCAGGAAGACGCTGCCCTTGACGTCGGCCTTGAGCATCGTGCCGCCCGACTGGCCCCGCACCGGGGCGCCGTGGTCGACGCGCAGCCAGCCCAGACGGCCCTCCCTGCCGCACAGACAAAGACAAAGGTTCCCGTGTAGACTTCCATAGACTGTTGGGGCAAGTGCTGTTAGCGAGTGGGTGGCCAGCAGCACGCCTGAGCGCCTTTGTCTCCCCAGTGGCGATGTTTCCACACCGCACCGGGTACTCGTTTGAGGCTGAGTTGAGATATTTACCACGTGATGGTCATGATGTTGGCTGTGATGGTGGTGTGGATGATGGTCGCAGTGGTGGTCTCGTGGACGTGTGGGTTGTGGTGTGGGTGGCGGCGGTGGTGACGGTGTGGGTGGCGGCGGTGGTGACGGTGTGGGTGTGGGTGGTGGTGTGGGTGGTGGTGTGGGTGGTGGTGTGGGTGGTGGTGTGGGTGGTGGTGGCGGTGTGGGTCTAACCTCACGGCCGTCACGTTGTGCCACCGCCCATCGTTGATCTTCGTCCGTGACGTAATGCTCGCCTCTCCGCTGCCCAGCTGGTAGCTGTGGACAAAACAAAGACAAAGATCCCCCGTATAGCCTTAACATACTGTCGGAGCAAGTGCTGTTAGCGAGCACCTATGAAGGCCGGCACGGCACACGAGGGGGTGGGTGGCCAACACCACGCCCGACCGCCTTTGTCTTCCTAGTGGCGATGTTTTACACACCGCACCAGGTACTCATTTGAGGCTGAGTCGACCTAGGGGAGGCCCAGGACCAGTTCAAATAATCGTCACTGGTGGTGGCCGTGAGCGGGAATCGAACTTTGGTCGCCAAGTTCGTAGCGCAGCACGCTAACCGCGACACTACCGCTCCCCACACACACTCACACGTGTACAAACGCACACATGTACACACACACACGCACACACACACGAACGCCGCCGCCACGCGTGCCACCGTGCCGACAATATAAACCCAATTCTCCACCGCGCAACCGAGCTGGGGCCGGGCCGCGCCGGTACGGGACCGTTTTTCCACCGCACAAACCGAGCCGCGCCGCTGACGTCACGCGCGTTGAGCGAGCGGGGACGCGCGTGGGTGACACGCTGATCATTTACCTGAACACCAGGCGTCCGTCCCTGAGGCCGAGACTCACAAAGTCCTTCCCCTTGCCGTTCTCTCCTGCCTCCTGCACACACGCACACGTGCACACGCGCACACACCCACACACCCACCCATCCACCCACACACACGAATGCACACGTACACACAAACATGCACACATGACCGTGCACGCACGGACACACACGTACACACGGACACACACATGCACACGCACACCCACGCATACATGCGCGCACGCAGCCACGCATTCGCACATGCGCACACACATACACACGCCCATACGCACACACACACGCACGCACAAGGTTATTGAGTGAGACGTGAGAAGTTCAGGGTTAGAGATTGGGGGTTAACATTCACAGTGCTTCGAGATTTAATGTTTGATTGCTCCTAAGGCTAGGAGCTACAAAGTAAATCCTGGGTGAGAGGTCCAATTGTAAGTGTTAAGGGTTTCCGATATTCCTGGTTTAGAGATCAGGGGTTAAAGGTTAGGGATTAGACATGCTCTAAAAGTTCATGGTCAAGGTTTAGAGCACTTCCCGGGTTAGTGGTCGGGGGTTAGGGGTCAGAGGTTAGAGGGCTTCCCAATTCAGAGGCCAGCATTTGGCATTTTCTGGGTTTGGGGTCAAGGGTTAAGGGTTAAAGATTAAGGGATAAGGGTCAGGGTTTATGCAGCTTCGTGTCTCTGAGGCTGCGGGGTTATGGGTCAGAATGCTTCAGGATTAGCGGCCGCCGGTTAGGGGTGAGAGTCCATCCTGGGTTAGGGTTGAAGGGGTTAGGGGTTGGAGCGGGGGAGGGTGGGGGTGGTGGGGTGGTGAGGTGGTGTTACCTCGCGCTTGGCGAGCCGCGTGCGTTCCCCGACCTTGTTTGCTGCCTAGAGGTGAGAGGTGAAAGGGCAGAACGGTGGGCGGGTGGGCAGGGCGGGCGGGGAGCAAGCGGAAGAGTGAGCGCACGACGCGGCTGAGCTCGCATGCACGTAGCGCGGGCAGCGCACGCAGCGCGGGCAGCGCAGGCGCACGGCAAGCGGCAACCGAGCGCCAGCAGCCCGTGGCAAGCGCTGGTGTGGCCGGCGTGGTCAGGGCGTGGTGTGGGTGAGGTGAGAGAGGGCCATGCGAGGGGGAGAGCCATGTGATGGAGTCATATGACAGAGGATGAGGTGGAGAGGGAAGAGACAGAGGAGATATGCGTGATGTGAGTGAGAGCGTGATGTGAGTGAGAGTAGGTGGTGAGGAGTGAGAGTGAGGGAGACAGAGGAGAGGTGAGGAGGCGAGGGGTGAGGAGGGTGAGGAGGGTGTACTGCCGGCACTCACCACTCCCTGCCAGACGAGCAGCCCCTCCGGGGAGAGTGTCTTCACCTCCAGCTGGATGGTCTCCGGGTGTTTGTGCATGCTGAGGCCACGCACAAAGACAAAGGTGCGCCGTGTAGCCTTAACAGACTGTTGGGACAAGTGCGGTTAGTGAGTGGCACCTATGAAGGCCGGCACGGCACACAAGGGGGTAGGTGGCCAGCACCACGCCCGGCCGCATTTGTCTCCCCATTGGCGATGTTTACACACCGCACCAGCTACTCATTTGAGGCTGAGTCGAACTAGGAGAAGCCCCAGACCGGCTCAGATAGTCGTCACTGCTGTTGGTGGCTGTGAGCGGCAATCGAACTTGGGTCGCCGGGTTCATAGCGCAGAGTGCTAACCGCTGGACCACCGCTTCTATTGGGTACACTAAACTAAATTTAAACTACATTTATTTGACCAGGTAAGGCCCACTGAGCTGTAGAGCTCTTTTTCAGAAGCGACCTGGCCACAAATAATAACTCAACAAAGTGGCTAATCATCACGTGGGGATGAATAGAAGCTAAACGCATAATTCTAAATGTGGAGGGGGAAAAACGGAGAACCCGGAGGAAAATCCACATGACCATGGGGAGAGAGAGAGACACCGCAAACTCCAAATATACAGCAGCAGCAGGCGTCAGGGTCGGGATCGAACCCACGACCTCCTGTACACCAGGCAAGGTCGTTAACATCTCGCCACAGTGGTGACGTCATGAGATGACGTCACATGCAACGACGTCACGGGGAAGGGAGGCGGGGAATGACGTCATCACGATGGCCGGCAAGGCTTACCTGCTCAGCGTCGCTGTAACTGCCGAGACGCTTTGACCAACGCGTCCACTTTCCCCTAGGGGGGCGAGTCACGGCAAGGTTCAACTTTGCCAGAGTTGCCGTGACCCCACGTTACCCATGGACGGACGGACGGACGGACGGAATGATTACCTCCTCACAAACATCTTCTCCGGCAGGGCGATGTACCCGTCGCCCGCGAAGCTGGCCGCATGCTGGATCACCGACGCTGTGGGGGGGGGGAGGGTGGCAACAGAGGGCGGGGGTCATGGGCGAGGTCCCGGCCACACCATGGGGGGTGGGTGATCCACAGGGGCTCTACTCTACTCCAGGTGGGTAACCGATGGAGGTCGGTTCACACCGCGGGGCGTGCTACACACGGCGTCGTACCGCGCCGTGGGGAGGGGGGTACGGTGCAGGTGCCCGGCCACACCGGACGGTGGGTCACGCGCCGAGTGCCGCCAAACGTCGGCAGATGCACCGAGCCCGGCCACGCCGCGACAGGGGAGGCGGGGGTGGGGGTGATGTGGGCGACTCGCGTGGGGAGTTGGCCACACCGGCTCGGGGAGTGGCACGGGGATGAGCCAAAGGGAGCGGTGCTGTGCGGCGACGGTGGCGAGGAGGTGGAGACGGTTACCGTGGTGACAGTCATCGCCGTGGTAACCCATGGGGCACACGCAGCGCGCGCCCACGCACGTGCCGCCGTTCATGCAGCCCGCGGCGCGGGAGCAGCCGCTCCGCCGCTCCTCACAGCGCTCGCCTGGGGGTCGCGGGGTCGCGGGGTCACGGGGTCGTGGGGGCGCGGGGACACGGGGACAAGGAGACATGGGCAAATGAACACAATGGGGCTTGGGTACCACGAGAAACACGAGACCACGATGGCACAGGGACGGCAGCAGCAGCAGTCGCGCTGCGCCTGGCGGAGCAACCCCCGGTGCCGTGCGACACCGCGGCGGTAGCTGTGGCGGCGGTGATGGTGGCCGTGCTGGCGGTGGTGGTTGTGGCGCCGGTGGTGGCGATGGTGGCGATGGTGGCGGCGGTGGCGCCGGTGATGGCGCCGGTGATGGCGATGGTGGTGGCGGTGGTGGTGGCGATGGCGGTGGTGGTTGTGGCGCCGGTGGTGGTGGCGCCGGTGGTGGCGATGGTTGTGGCGGTGGTGGTGGCAGTGGCGATGGTGGTGGTGGTGGCGATGGTGGCGGTGGCGCTCCTACCCTGGTATCCGTCGGCGCAGACGCACTGCACCTCGTACTCCCCGAGCGGCACACACGAGCCCCCGTGGCGGCACGGGTTGCGCTGGTCGCACGCGCTGGCGGCGCCGCCGCGGCACGGCTCGACGGCGCGCGACGCCACAAACGAGTAGCTCACGTCCAGGCGCTTCCCGTTCACCAGCACCTGGGGGTGGGCGGGGGGCGGGGGGGGATGCACGCATGGGGGTGGGGGCAGAGGGGTGGACGTGTGTGTGTGCGTGCGTGGAGGACAACGTAGTGCGCTAGAACCTCATGTCCCGCCGTGCTTTCCAGCAGTTCTCCGTAGCTCCCTGCGTGTTTCCGTCCATGCCCATGTCTACTGTGTCTCCCCGCGTCTCCCCGTACTTCCTCCTATTCCTCCTATCTCCCCGCGCTCGTGCGCCCCACCCACCTCAGCGATGCACCCGTGCAGGCCGCCGGAGACGTTGGCGTGCGCGTGCAGCGTGCCGCCAGACGGCACCCCGCCCAGGTAGAGGGGCGAGCGCAGGTTGAGCCCCTGGGAGCGCCCGGGGGAGCGAGCGCTCACCCTGCGGCCCTCGTCCAGCCGGAGCCAGCCCTCGCGCTCCACGCGCTCCACCACGAGCCGGTGCCAGCGGCCCGCCTGCACCCGCTCGGGGCTCCGCAGCACCGCCGTGCCTGCCCGTGCCCAACACGAGACGCCAAGGTTGGCTACGAGTCCAACGTGCAACAACTCTGCACGTGATGGCTGCACCCACCGCCCCCGTCACCCCGCTGCCACGGGTACCCCCCCCCCCACCGCCCCCCCGACACCCCGAGCCCCCCCCCCCCCCCCGTACCGGAACCCAGGTGGTAGCGCAGCTCGGCGTGTCCGTTTGCGAGCGCGACGGACACGAAGTCGTCGTGGATGCCGCGCCGCGCTCCGCTGTAGAGCAGCAGCCCGTCGAGCTGCAGCGGGCGGAACTCCAGCGAGAGCGTCAGCTGCTTCTGCACGTTGCTCAGCGGCGGCAGCGACACGAACGACGCACCCGAGAACGACGGCACCGTGATCAGCTCCCCTGCGGTGGCGGCAATGGGTCACCGAGAGGGGAGAGGGGTCACAGAGAGGGGTCACAGAGAGGGGTCGCGGGGTCACCGAGAGAGGTCACGAGGTCGCAGAGAGGGGTCACAGAGAGGGGTCACAGAGAGGGGTCGTGGGGTCACAGAGTGGGGTCACGGGGTCACAGAGAGGGGATAGGGGTCGCAGAGAGGGGCCGTGGGGTCACAGAGCGGGGTCGCGTCAAAGCGTCTGTACGTGTGGCCTTCACAGTGAAGGCTGCGGGGCAACGTTAGCCATCTCTGGTGCCCAGTGCCAGCTGCCACGTGTGCCATGTGACATGTGACAAGTGTGCCATGTGACATGTGCCAACCGTGTCATGTGACGTATGCATGTGACATATTACAACCGTGTCATGTGACGTGTGCCAAGTGTGCCATGTGGCATATTCCATCCGTGTCATGTGACGTGTGCCACGTGACGTGTGAGCCAAGTGTGCCACCTTGCATGCAGGTCTCCCCGGACTTGCCCAGGTGGCAGCGGCAGGTGAAGCCGGGCCCCTCCTCGCTGCTCACGCACGTCGCGTCGTCGGAGCACGAGCCTGGGGTGGGGGGGCGTGGGGGGGGGGCGGTCAGTTAGTTGGTGGGGGGGGGGGACACGCGCGCGTGGGGCGTGCGTGTGGGGGACCCGGCTTCGATTCCCCTCGGGGGTGAATGCATGAACCGGCTCTGTGTATACAACGCACATCGGCACTCGGAGAGACAAAGGCGGCCGGGCGTGGTGAAGGCCGTGCCGGCCTTCATAGGCGCTACTCGCTAACAGCACTTGCCCCCGTACAGCATGCCAAAGGCTACGCGGGGGATCTTAGTCCGCGTGCGCGTGTGTGTGTGTGCGTGCGTGTGTGCTCGTGTGTGTGTGCGTGTGCGTGCGTGCGTGTGTGTGCGTGCGTGCGTGTGCGTGTGTGCTTGCATGTGTGTGCGTGCGTGCGCGTGCGTGTGTGCGTGTGTGTGTGCGTGTGTGTGTGTGCGTGTGTGCGTGTGTGCGCGTGTGTGTGCGTGCGTGTGTGTGCGTGCGTGTGTGTGCGTGCGTGTGTGTGTGCGTGTGCGTGCGTGTGTGTGTGTGCGTGCGTGTGCGTGTGTGTGCGCGTGACGAGGGATCGCGCACACCTGGGTGGCACGAGGAGGCCACCGGGAGCTCGCAGTTGGTGCCCGTGTAGCCTGGCGGGCACTCGCACTCGTAGCCCCCCTCCTCCGACGGGTGGCACGCGCCCTCGTTCTGAGGCCAGACAGACACGCCGACTTTCCTCGTTATCACCGTCGTCATCGCCATCACCACCGTCGTCATCGCCATCGTAACCGCCGTCGTCACCATCACCATCGGCACACCAGTGCCGCTGCCTGCGTTCTCGTGAACGTCACCTTTATCGAACGTCACCAGCAGCAGCATCGTCATCGACGTCGTCATCATCACCATCATCGGCTGCGAGCAGCGTGACTCTGGTATGATGACCACAATCACTCGCAATCAACACAGGGACCAAAATCACGAAGGAGACGTTCCTCCCTCCTGCCCCCCCTCACATATCGGTCCCTCCACGCGACACACATTTGACACATCCCATCAGCCAAGCAGCACACTCTCAGCGGCATTGGCTCATCGGCCGCTTCACCTCGGTGGGTCTCAACCCGCAACGCCTGGGGTCGACGTGAGCACCTAGCCTGGCACGAGCGCCCTGGTGACGTCACCGCCACTCAGTTGGTGCTTCTTGTTGTCGTTGTTGGGTTGTTGTTGTAGTGTTGTTGTGTTGTTGCTGTGTTGTTGTGTTTTGTGTTGTGTTGTTGCTGTTGTTCCACCTGGCACGGGCCGTCCTGGCAGGTGGGGCAGTCGCGCACGGCCACCGACTTGATCGGCTGCGTCAAGAAGTTCACCTGCTCGCCCTGCAGCTCCATCTCACGCACACAGCCTGCACGCACGCACGGGATACACGCGCGCGTTACACAAACACACACGCGACACACACACACACGCGACACACACACACACACACGCGACACACACAAACACACGCGACACACACACACGCGACACACACACTCGCACGGGACACACACACACACACTCACGAGCTCAACCACTTACACGCACATTGACCGCTCACCGACTCACACCGCCCCCCTCTCCACCCGCTGGGACGCTCGCCCGCCCATCCACGCACTCGCTCGCCCGCTTGTCCAAACACTCGCTCCCTCACTCGCTCGCTCGCTCGCTCCCTCACTCGCACGCTCCCTCACTCGCACGCTCGCTCACCACCCCGCGCCCCTCTCCCCCAGCTCCTCCACCCACCCTCCAGCCCCCCCCCCAACTCACCGGTGAATCCGGTCTTGATTCCGGTGATGCGCGTGACGCGGCTGAAGCTGGGGACGCCGCCGACGTACATCTCTTCGTTCAGATCCAAGCCCTGGAACTTGCCCTGCGCACACGCGCACACAAGGACAAAGGTCCCCCGTGCAGCCTTACTGGACTGTTGGGGCAAGCGCTGTTAGAGAGCAGCGCCTACGAAGGCCGGCGCTGTGGCACACGAGGGGGAGGGGGGTTCGCCAGCACCACGCCCGGCCGCCTTTGTCTCCACCACTTACACACAGCCACGCACACTCCCACAACAGTACAGGAAACCCTCCATCATCGCTACATCACCATCCCTCCACCATCCCTCCACCACCACCCATCCACCACCACCATCGCCGCCCCCGCCGCCACCGCCGCCGTCTCTCCGTGGCCGCCGCGCACCTGCGAGGATCCGACGACGGGCGCCTCGTTGTTGACGGTGAGCGACCCCTCGGTGAGGTTGCGCCTGAGCGTCACCGTGTGGTACTCGCCCAGCTCCAGCGGCATCGGGTAGCGGATCACCGCCATGCCTGAGCCCACGTCAAACCTACAAAAACATGCACGCAGACACGTACGCAGACATACACGCAGACACAGGGTTAGGTTCAGATGCAGACACAACAACAACCGCCATTCGCCACTAAGTGGCGGTGATGTCACCACGACGCTTGTGCCAGGCTACGTGCACCTTGAGGTCACATGAAGTGTCGAACGTCCGCTGGCAGGAGGTCACGGGGCAGACCCAGGTGCCACGGGTCTACTGACTGAGATGAGTGGCTGATGCACCACCTGTGCCCCCTACTGTGCCAACTTGCTGTGCTTTAGCCACCCGGCGCTTCACTCGTTGTTGTGAGCGTCGCTCCTCCGCCCTCCGTTGTTGTTGGAGGGCGACTGCATCCAACTGCCCAGTAGCGTCCTTCACGAGCCTCTTCCACAGAGGCCGATCTTGACACCGCTGGTACCAGTCATCAGCAAGTCCACTCAGCTCCACGTCCTCCTGTACCACATCACTGCATCTCTTCTCTAGCCCGTGCCGCGCCCGCCTAGACAATATGCGTGCGTTCGCGGTTCAGGTTGTGGCTGGCGTGGTTGGGTGCGGTCGTGTCCGGAGTGCGCGTCAGGGTTAGGGACGGAGTTGGGGGTGGGGGGGGGGGGGCGGTCACCTGAACTCGGGCCGCCCCCCGACCAGGCCAAACGAGAGGAAGTCCACGCCGCTGCCCTGCTTCTGCCCATTGTAGAGCACCAAACCTGGACGGAACAAGACACAACGATCCCCGCGTTTACTAGCAGTAGTAGTCGGTAGCCGCCCTGGCGCCAGTGTGCAGGTGGTGCAACTGCAGGCTGAGGCCCGTTGGTTTGGGGGGGGGCCCAGGTGAAGGAGGTTAGACAGGAACCCCCCCGGGCCGCCCCCCCTCCCTTTAATTCCTGTGCACCGGGACCCATGCGGACACCGCGCGGCACCGCTTCACCGACACGCCTCTGGTGCGCTTTCACAACACAAACAACAACAACAGCGGCCGCCATTCGCCGACCAAGTGGCAGTGACGTCACCCCGGCGCCTGTGCCAGGCCAGGTGCACTTTGAGGCCACGAGAAGTGTCAAAGGTTCGCTGACAGACCCAGCAGGTGCCATGGGTTCACTGACTGAGATGGCTGGCAGATGCACCACTAGCTGGGCACCCTACTGGGCCAACTCGCTGCATTGTGAGCGTCGCTCCTCTGCCCTCTGTTGTTGTTGGATGGCGACTGCCTCCAACTGCCCAGTAGCAGCAGCGTCCTTCACGAGCTTCCTCCACAGATACCGATCCTGATACCGCTGGTACGTGTCGTCGGCAAGCCCACTCAGCTCCACATCCTCCCGTACCTCATCTGCTCCATCTCTTCTCCAGCCCGTGTTGTGCCCGTTTAGCCCTTTATATCTGGCCAAACAGAAGCTGTTTGTACAAGCTGTGGCTGGGAATGCACGTTACATGACCCAGCCAATGAAGCCTGCCGGAGGAGCTCACTGATGGGAATGTGTCCAGATCTGTAAAGACCTGGACACTTGCACTCACGAAAAAAGATCCCGCATACAGCCTGTAACAGACTGTAGGGGCAAGTGCTGTTAGCGAGCACCGATAAAGGCCGATACAGCACACGAGGGGGTGGGTGGCCAACACCACGCCTGGCCGCCTTTGTCTCCCTAGTGGCGATGTTTACACCAGGTGTTAATTTGAGGCTGAGTCGACCTAGGGGAGGCCCAGGAACCGGTTCAGATAATCGTCACCGGTGTTGGCTGTGAGCGGGAATCGAACCCAGGTCGCCAGGTTCGTAACGCAATGTAGCGCGAACCGCTCCACTGCCGCTTCCGGCCTTCATAGGTGCTCGCTAACTCACACTGACTTCTCACACACACGCGCACACGGGCGTGTGTGTGCGTCAGAGCGAGAGCGTTGCTAAGGCGACGAGTGTTGTGACAGCGATGAGCATCGCGATTGAGTGGTGGCACCATCGCGAGGTCCGGGACCCGAGAACCGGGGGATCGGCATCAAAGACCGGAAAACGGTCTCGAACAAGAGCTGGGGAATGGAGTCGAGAAGCAGGGGAGGCATCGAAGGAGCAGGGACCGGAGTCAAGGACCGTGGGGGGGACGCACACTCACCGTGGAAGAAAATCAAAGCTGGAGGATGAGCAGGAAGACGACGAGAGCAGGGCAGCACAAGGAGGAGGTGAAGGAGGAGGTGGAGGAGGAGGTGGAGGAGGAGGTGAAGGAGGTGGAGGAGGAGGTGAAGGAGGAGGTGGAGGTGAAGGAGGAGGCGAAGAGGAGCAGGAGACAGAGGGGAGGATGGACAGCACAAGGGAGGGGGCATCAGAGACATCGTGGGGGGGGGGCTCGAAAGGAAACAACAAAAGGGGCGTTATGTGTGCCCTCGCGTGTGCGTGCGTGTGCATGTGTGTGCGTGTGTATATGTGTGTGTGTATGTGCGTGCGTTTGTTTGTTTGCGTGCGTTTGTGTGCGTGCGTGTGCATATTTGTGCGTGTATGTGTATATGTGTGCGTGTGTGCACGTGCGTGCATGCGTGTGTGCGTGTGTATGTGTGTGCGTGTGTAAGTGTGTGCGTGCATATGTGTGTGCGTGCGTTTGTGCGCATGCGTGTGTATGTGTGTGCATGTGTAAGTGTGTGCGTGCGTATGTGTGCGCGTGTGTGCGTTTGTGCGCATGCGTGTGTATGTGTGTGCATGTGTTCGTGCGTATGTATGTGTGTGCGTGCGTGCGTTTGTGCGCATGCGTGTGTGCGTGCGTGCGTTTGTGCGTGTGTATGTGTGTGCGTGCGTTTGTGCGCATGCGTGTGTAAGTGTGTGCGTGCGTGTGTGCGTGTGTATGTGTGTGTGTGCGTGCGTGTGTGTGTGCGTGCGTTTGTGCACATGCGTGTGTATGTTTGTGCGTGTGTAAGTGTGTGCGTGCGTGTGTGCGAGTGTGTACGTGTGTGCGTGCGTGTGTATGTGCGTGTGTAAGTGTGTGTGTGCATGTGTATGTGTGTGTGTGCGTGCGTGTGTGAGCCTCCGGCTCCTCTCACCGTCGGCTGTGTCCGGCCGGAACGTGACCTTGGCCTCGAAGCGCTTGTAGGCGCCCTTCATGGCGGGGAGACTCACGTAGGCTCCGGCCCCCGGGGGGAAGTACGGACGGAGAACCTCTACGCACACACACAGACAAAGATCCCCCTTGTAGCCCTAACAGACTGTTGGGGCAAGTGCTGTAAGCGAGAAGCACCTGTGAAGGCCGGCACGGCGCTCGAGCGGGTGGGTGGCCAGCACCACGCCAGGACCGCTTTTGTCTCCCCAGCGCAAATGTTTACACATGGCACCAGGCGCTCATATGAGGCTGAATCCACCTAGTGGAGGCCCAGGACCGGTTCAAATCATCGTAACCATCGTTGGTCGCGAGTGGGAATCGAACTCGGGTCGCCGAGTGCGTGGCGCAGTGCACTGACCACGTCGCTATGGCTCCACCCAAACGTACAAAGGCAAAGATGCCCCATGTAGCCTTCGACAGGCTGTTGGGGCAAGTGCTGCTCGCGAGCACCTATAAGGGCCGACACGCCACACGAGGGGGTGTGTACCCGGCACCACGCCCGGCCGCCTTTGTTTCCCCAGCAGTGATGTTTACACTCCGCATCAGGTACTCATTTCAGAATGAGTTGCCCTAGGTTGAGATGCAGGACCGGTTCAGATCGTCGTCACTGGTGACCCAAACACACACACACACACCAAGTGCATAGATCCACCCGGCCACCATCCCCTCGTGAACCAAGCGAGCAGCTCCAGGGTCCAGCCCGGCCCCCCGTGTGGCGGCGCTCCGCAAACCCAGAGGGCCGCCGCCGCCGGGGCCGCGTAGAGGCCACCGCGGCGGCCCCCTCTGGCCCAGCCCACCGAGCGAGGACGGCCCCTGCAGCGCGCGACCTCTCGCGGACGGCCCTCGGCACGGGCGCGGCGAGGAGGAGACGGCCGCCGCCCGCCCGGCCCCCTGGGCCCAGCTCCACGCCGGCCTGGCCAACCGTCAGCCCTGACCCCATCCCACCACCCCTAGCAGCCTTCGCTTCCGACCTTCCCGCCTCGAACCCCCCCACGACTCCCCGTGTCCTGCCCCTTGACCCCCGCCCCCGGTGTCCCCCGCCCCCCGTGACCCCCGCGCCCCGTGATCCCCGCGCCCCAGGGGCCTCACCGCGCACGACGAGCACGGCCTGCGCCACGGTGGCGCCGCGGCCGTCGTCCCCGCGGCAGGCGTAGGTGCCGCCGTCCTCGCGCCCCACGTGGCGGATCGTCAGCACGCCGCGCTCCACCGAGAAGTCGCTCGGGGGCGGCCCGTCCACCTGCAGGGCGCGGGGGGGGGGGGGCAGGGGGGTGGAGATGGAGAGACAGCGGGGGACACGAGGTGAGGTGGGGAGGGGGGACGCGAAGGGGTGCACGGGAACACGAGGGGGTGAGAGGGGGCGGTGTTGAGGGGGTGAGAGGGGAGGGTGCTGAGGGGGTGAGAGGGGAGGGTGTTGAGGGGGTGAGAGGGGAGGGTGCTGAGGGGGTGAGAGGGGAGGGTGTTGAGGGGGTGAGAGGGGAGGTGCTGAGGGGTGAGAGGGGGGACCTTGTTCCAGGAGAGCTGTGGCGCTGGCAGGCCGGACGCGTGGCACGTGAACGACGCCGTCCCTCCGGGCGCTATCACACGTGAACTCGGCATCACCGAGATCTGAGGCTCCACTGCACACACGGAGACAAAGATTCCCCGCAATAATTTGAGGCTGAGTCGACCTAGGGCGGGCCCAGGACCAGTTCAGACAATCGTCACCAGCGTTGCTCGTGAGGGGGAATCGAACTCGAGTCGCCGGGTTTGTAGCGCAGCGCGCTGACCGCTACACTACCGCCACCACACACAGACACACAAGACTCACGCACACACAGACTCATGCACGCATACACACGCAGACTCACGCACGCGTACATACAGACTCTCGCACACGTACACACACAGAGATTCACGCACGCGTACACACGCAGACCCACGCACACATACACACGCAGACTCACGCTCACACGCGCGCGTACCCTGCACGTAGAGCTGCACGCGCGACTCCACGGAGCCGGCGGCGTTGGTGGCCGTGCAGCGGTAGATGCCGGCGTCCGAGGGTCGCGCCGTCTCCAGCAGGAGCAGCCCCCCGGCGAGCACGGCGTGCGGGGGCAGCGCCGCGTCCACGCGGTCCCAGCGCACCGCCGGCAGCGGCTCGCCCGGCGCGTGGCAGTCGAACTCGACGCGGGCGCCCACCGCCACGGTCTGCGCCGCGGTGCGCACCGAGATGCTCACCACCGGCAGCGCCGCGGACGACGAGGGCGACGATCCCCCTGCCAGCGCACCGCGCCGAGCGGCATTAGCGGCGGCGGCGGCGTGGAGGGGCGGCGGGCGGAAGGCCCCGCGCCCTCCGGGAGCCGTTGCCTCGCCCGAGCGGCAATGTTTACGCATCGCACTGGGTACTCATTTGAGGCTGAGTGGACCCTAGGTGAGGCCCAGCACCGGTTTGAATGTTCCGCACCGTTATTGGTGCGTGAGCTAAACGCTAACAAAGAGCAACCTGTAACAGACCGTAGGGGCTGTTAGTGAGCAGCACCTATGAAGGCTGGCACGGCACACGTGGCGGTGCGTGGCCAACACCACGCCCGGCCGCCTTTGTCTCCCCAGCGGCGATGTTTACACACCGCACCAGGTACTCATTTGAGGCTGAGTGGACCTTACGGGAGGCCCAAGACCGGTTCAGATAATCGTCACTGGCGGTGTCGGCCGTGAGCGGGAATCGAACCCGGGTCGCCAGGTTCGTAGCGCAGCGCTGCGCCACTTACACGCGCACCCAGACACGCTCACCCACACACGCGCACGCAGACACGCACACACGCACACACAGACACGCACACACGCACACACGCGCACGCAGACACGCACACACCCAGACATGCACACACCCAGACACGCACACACGCACACACGCACACACGCAGACACACGTACACACGCACACAGTGATGCAGGCCGTTGGGGTAAGTAGGGTCAGCGAGTCGCGACTGCAAAGGCCGGCACGGGTTCCCGGGGGGTTGGGGTGGGGGGAGGGGGTGGCCGTACGGGGGGGGGGGGGGGGGTGGGACACAGAGGGGACGTGGGGGCACGGAAGGGTGATGGGTAGATGTGGGTGGAGGTGAGGGTTGTGGTGATGGTGGAGGTGAGGGTGGAGGTGACGGTGGAGGTGAGCATGGAGGTGAGTGTGGAGGTGATGGTGGAGGTGAGGGTGGAGGTGAGCGTGGAGGTGAGTGTGGAGGTGAGGGTGGAGGTGAGAGTGGAGGTGAGTGTGGAGGTGAGTGTGGAGGTGAGGGTGGAGGTGAGGGTGGAGGTGAGTGTGGAGGTGAGTGTGGAGGTGAGGGTGGAGGTGAGGGTGGAGGTGAGGGTGGAGGTGAGGGTGGAGGTGAGGGTGGAGGTGAGTGTGGAGGTGAGGGTGGAGGTGAGGGTGGAGGTGAGGGTGGAGGTGAGGGTGGAGGTGAGGGTGGAGGTGAGTGTGGAGGTGAGTGTGGAGGTGAGGGTGGAGGTGAGGGTGGAGGTGAGTGTGGAGGTGAGGGTGGAGGTGAGGGTGGAGGTGAGGGTGGAGGTGAGGGTGGAGGTGAGGGTGGAGGCGAGGGTGGAGGTGAGGGTGGAGGTGAGGGTGGAGGTGAGGGTGGAGGTGAGGGTGGGGTGAGGCTGGCCCCTCACCGTGCACGGAGAGCCGTGCGGAGTTGTGCCCCTCCCCGCCTGCGTTGCGGGCTCGGCACACGTACTCCCCCTCGTCCTCCTTGTGCAGGTCCTCCAGCCTGGCACGGCACACGCACAGCACACGTGTGTGCGCACGGTGCGGTGAGCGCGAGGTGTGGTGACCGTCAGATGAATCATGACTCCAATTGGCCCGTGTGTGACCCCGTGTGTGACCCCGCGTGTGACCCCATGGGACCCAGAGTGTGACGCCACGTGACCCTGTATAACTCCGAGTGTGACCCTGTACGTGACCCCAAGCGACCCCGAGTGTGACCCCGTGCGTGAGCCCGAGCGTGACTCTGAACGTAATTCCGTGTATGACCCCCAGTGACCCCCAGAGTGACCTCGCATGTGACCCCGAGTGTGACCCCGAGTGACCTCCCGTGTGACCCCATGCATGACCCCGAGTGTGACCTCGAGTGTGACCCCATGCGTGACCCGCGCGTGACCCCCGCACGCCGTACCGGAGCGTGCCGTGCGACACGGTGTGCCGGGCCGGCAGGGCGGCGCCGCCGTGCCGCGTCCACTCCACGGTGTGGCCGGCCTCTCCGGTGACGCGGCACGAGAACTCCACCACGGAACCGGGGGCCTTGACGGCCTCGCTCGGCGTCACCTTCACCGCCGGGGCCGCCGGGCCCGCCGGGACGATGGCTGTGCGCAGGCGGAGGGAGCGGGACGGCGGGAACGCACGTGAGTGGTCGGGATGGAACGCCGCTAGGCCATCGTGTCGTGGCCCACGCACGGCCACGCACACGTCACTCACGGACATCACCGGTGGCGGTTGTGGTGGTCGTGGCGGTAGCTGTGGTTGTGGCGGTGGTTGTTGCGGTGGGGAGCGCTACGAACCCGGTGACCTGAGCTCGATTGCCTCTCACAACCAACGCCTGTGACAATTATCTGAATCGGTCCTGGGTTTCCCTTAGGTCGACTCAGCCTCAAATGAGTACCTGGTGCGGTGTGTAAACATCAGCACTGGGGAGACAAAGGCGGCCGGGCGTGGTTGCTGGCCACCCACCCCCTCGTGTGCCGTGCCAGGCCTTCATAGGTGTACGCCAACAGCACTTGCCTCAACAGTCTGTTAAAGGCTACACGGGGGATCTTAGCCTTTGTTTATCGTGCGTGCCAGTCACTGTGCACTTGCCCCAACAATACGTTAAAGGTTACACGGGGGACCTTTGCCTTTTGCTGTCTGAGTGTGGTGCACGCGGGGGATCTTCTCCGTGGCCACGCCGCGGGATTGTGACCAGCGCGCACTCTCGTTTTGTCGGCAGTGGGGGGTGGTGAATCGCCGCGCTCACCGCCGCGGACGACCACGGTGGCGGAGGCCTCGCCGGCGCCGGCGCGGTTGGTGACGCGCACGCGGTACGCGCCGGCGTCGCCGGGGCCCGCCCGCTCCACGAGCAGCACGCCGTCGCGGCCCGCGCGCACGTGCGGCGCCAGCGGGCCGCCGTCGCGGGACCAGGCCAGCCGCAGGGGCGGCGTGCCGTGCGCCACGCACTGCACGCGCAGACGCTCGCCCTCCGCCACCTCCACGCGCGCCGGGAAGCACGTCGCGTAGGGGGGCACTGCGGGGGGGGGGGGGGGGGGCACAGTTGGGAGGGAAATGTTACTTCGTGGCGGCGGCGGCGGCTTTAATAGGCGCTCGCTAACAGCGCTGCCCGTGCGTGTGCGCTGGGTGCCTGTAACCCAGCGCTCCGGAGGCAGCGGTGAGGGTTGGTGGGTCATCGCACGCAGACGTTGCCGTGAAATTCACTTCTACCCGTGGGCGTCGGGGAGGTGGAAGTCGGTACAACAAGTCGCGTTTATTCCACTTGTATGTGGGGGGGGGGGGGGGGTCGAGCGTTGCCTGCCCCCCCCCCCTCGCGCGATGTGCGGGGTCTACTCCTCCCACGTGAATAATAAACACGACGGCTCGTTGCCGTTCATCGGCTGACAACATCTCACGAATAAAAAAACAAATGCGGCATGACCCTGAGTGTGACCCCGAGTGACCTCGCGCGCGGGGTCACACAAGGGGGTCACACTCGGGGTCACACTCGGGGTCATACACGGGGTCACACGCGAGGTCACTCTGAGGTGGCTCTACGGGGTTCCATGCATCGTGTGGGAGCACGGTGCCCGTGGGCGCCTCGCCGGTCACATCACGTCCACGTCACGTGACGTCACGGTCACGTCACGTTACAGTCACGTCACGTGACGTCACGGTCACGTCACGGTCACGTCATGGTCACGTCACGTTACGGTCAGGTCACGTCACGCCCCGTCACGCTTCGCCGCGTCGCCGCGTCGCCACGCACCCTCCACCTCCAGCGAGACGAAGGCCTCGGCGTTGCCGTGCCGACTCGTGGCGTTGCAGATGTACTCGCCGCTGTCCTGTTGCCCCACGTTGGGGATCGTCAGCACGCCGCCCTCCACGCGGTGCTGCCACGGCAACGGCGAGCGCAGCTTGGACCACGTGATGACGGGAGAGCCGGAGCCTGCGCGTGCACGGAGAGAGCGCGGTGCGGTAGTGCACAGTGTGGTAGTGCACAGTGCGGTAGTGCACGCTGCGGTAGTGCACGGTGCGGTAGTGTACGGTGCGGTAGTGCACGGTGTGGTAGTGCACGGTGTGGTAGTGCATGGTGTGGGTGTGGTAGTGCACGGTGTGGGTGCGGTAGTGCACGATGTGGTAGTTCACGGTGTGTGTGTGCTAGTGCACGATGTGGGTGCGGCAGTGCACGGTGCGGTAGTGCACGATGTGGTAGTTCACGGTGTGGGTGTGGTAGTGCACGATGTGGTAGTTCACGGTGTGTGTGTGCTAGTGCACGATGTGGGTGTGGTAGTGCACGGTGCGGTAGTGCACGATGTGGTAGTTCACGGTGTGTGTGTGCTAGTGCACGATGTGGTTGCGGCAGTGCACGATGTGGGCGCGGGCGCTACCGGTGACGGTGCAGCGCAGCGTGGCGGTGCCGCCGGCGGTGACGACGAGCGAGGGCTCCGGCAAGGAGATGAGCGGTGGGCCCTCCCCGCCCGGGCCCTCCACCACCACCTCCACGCGCTGCTCCGTGGAGCCGATGTCGTTGCGTGCGACGCAGGCGTACGTCCCCGCGTCGCGCGCTCGCACCGACGTCAGCTGAGAACGACGGAGGCGGCGAGTCAGTGCCGTCCGCACGACTGTCTGTGTGACCGTCTGACTGTCTGTGTGACCGTCTGACCGTCTGACTGTCTGCATGACCGTCTGACCGTCTGACTGTCTATATGACCGTCTGACCGTCTGACTGTCTATATGACCGTCTGACTGTCTGACTGTCTGTATGACCGTCTGACCGTCTGGCTGTCTATATGACCGTCTGACTGTCTGACTGTCTGTATGACCGTTTGACTGTCTGTCTGTATGACCTCTGTCTATCTGTATGAATGTCTGACTGACTGTCTGACTGTCTGTATGACCGTCTGACTGTCTGTCTGTATGTCCGTCTGACTGTCTGTATGACTGTCTGTATGACCGTCTGACTGTCTGACTGTCTGTATGTATGACCGTCTGACTGTGTGTCTGTATGACCGTCTGTCTGTCTGTATGAACGTCTGACTGTCTGTATGACCGTCTGACTGTATGACTGTCTGACTGTCTGTATGACCGTCTGACTGTCTGCATGACCGTCTGTTCATCTGACTGTCTGAATGACTGCTGCTCACTGCTGTTACTGCCCACTGCTGCTCAATGCTGCTACAGCTGCTGCTACTGCTGCTGCTCACTGCTGCTACTGCTGCTGCTTACCGCTGCTGCTCACTGCTGCTACTGGCGCCCACCCCCCCCTCCCCCGCGGCGCCCACCTGCAGCAGGGCGCTGCCCTCCGTGGGCGGCGCGTGGGGCAGGCCGTGCGGGCGCAGGTCGGCGATCCTCCAGTGCACGGAGGGCCGCGGGTGGCCCATGCCGGAGCACTCCAGGGTGAGCGTGGCGCCCGGGCGCACGCGCACCGGCCCCTTGGGGGTGATGGCGATGCTCGGGGGACCTGGGAACGGCGGGGACGGTGAGGGCCGCTGCGTGCACGCGCGCGCGTGTGTTTCTGTGCGTGTGTGTGGGTGGCTACAGCACGACAAGTTGGCACAGCAGGGGGCACAGGTGGTGCATCAGCCACTCATCTCAGTCGACCCGTGGCACCTGCTGGGTCTGCCCCGTGACCTCCTGCCAGCGGGCGTTCGACACTTCACGTGGCCTCTACGTGCACATGGCCTGGCACAAGCGTCGTTGGTGACGTCACCGCCACTTAGTGGCGAATGGCGGTTGTTGTTGTGTGCATGTGTGTTTGCATGTGTGTGTGCGTGTGTTTGTGTGCGTGTTTTTGCGCGTGTGTTTGTGTGTGTGCGTGTGTGTTTTTGTGTGTGCGTGTTTGTGTGTGTGTGTGTGTTTTTGTGTGTGTGTTTGTGTGCGTGTTTGTATGCGTGTGCGTGCGTGTGTTTGTGTGCATGTGTGTTTGTGCGTGTGTGTTTGTGTGCATGTGTGTTTGTGTGCGCGTGCGTGTGTTTGTGTGTGTGCATGTGTGTTTGTGCGTGTGTGTTTGTGTGCATGTGTGTTTGTGTGCGCGTGCGTGTGTTTGTGTGTGTGCATGTGTGTTTGTGTGTTTGTGTTTGTGTGTGTGCATGTGTGTTTGTGCATGTGTGTTTGTGTTTGTGTGTTTGTGTTTGTGTGTGTGCATGTGTGTTTGTGCATGTGTGTTTGTGTGCGTGTGTGCGTGTTTGTGTGTGTGCATGTGTGTTTGTGTGTGTGCATGTGTGTTTGTGCATGTGTGTTTGTGTGTTTGTGTGTGTGTGTGTTTGTGTGCGTGCATGTGTGTGGTTGTGCGTGCGTGTGTGTTTGTGTGCGTGCATGTGTGTTTGTGCGTGTGTGTTTGTGTGCATGTGTGTTTGTGTGCGCGTGTTTGTGTGTGTGCATGTGTGTTTGTGTGTTTGTGTTTGTGTGTGTGCATGTGTGTTTGTGCATGTGTGTTTGTGTGCGTGTGTGCGTGTTTGTGTGTGTGCATGTGTGTTTGTGTGTGTGCATGTGTGTTTGTGCATGTGTGTTTGTGTGTTTGTGTGTGTGTGTTTGTGTGCGTGCATGTGTGTGGTTGTGCGTGCGTGTGTGTTTGTGTGCGTGCATGTGTGTTTGTGCGCGTGCATGTGTTTGTGTGCGTGCGTGCGGGCACCCTGCACGACGAGGGTGGCGGTGCTGCTGGTGACGCCGTAGGCGTTGGCCGCGTGGCACAGGAAGGTGCCCTGGTTGGCGTGCTGGGCCCGCACCACGCGCAGCTCCGAGCCGTCACCGCTCACCTGCACGTTCTCTGGGCACGCCGCCACAACCACCACAACCGCGTCAACCACAACCACGACAACCACAACAACCACAACCACGTCAATCACATCAACCACATCGCAACAACCACAACCACACCGCGACAACCACGACAACCACATCAACCACAAGCACACCGCAACAACCACGACAACCACATCAACCACAACCACATCAACCACAACCACACCGAGACAACCACGACAACCACATCAACCACATCAACCACAACCACGTCAACCACAACCACATCGCGACAACCACGACAACCACAACCACAACCACATCAACCACAACCACACCGTAACAACCACGACAACCACATCAACCACATCAACCAAAACCACGTCAACCACAACCACGACAACCACAACCACATCAACCACAACCACACCGAGACAACCACGACAACCACATCAACCACATCAACCACAACCACGTCAACCACAACCACATCAACCACATCGCAACAACCACAACCACACCGCAACAACCACGACAACCACATCAACCACAACCACGACAACCACATCAACCACAACCACATTGCGACAACCACGACAATCGCATCAACCACAACCACGACAACCACAACCACATCAACCACAACCACATCGCAACAACCACGACAACCACATCAACCACATCAACCACAACCACGTCAACCACAACCACGTCAACCACACCGAAACAACCACCTCCTGCCAGCGGGCGTTCGACACTTCACGTGGCCTCAACGTGCACACAGCCTGGCACCAGCGTCGTGGTGACGTCACCGCCACTTTGTGCGAATGGCGGTTGATGTTGGTGTTGGTGGTGTTTGTGTTGGTAGTGGTTGTGGTAGTGGTGTTTGTGATGGTGGTAGTGGTGTTTGTGTTGGTGGTGGTTGTGGTAGTGGTGTTTGTGATGGTGGTAGTGGTGTTTGTGTTGGTAGTGGTTGTGGTAGTGGTGTTTGTGATGGTGGTAGTGGTGTTTGTGTTGGTAGTGGTTGTGGTAGTGGTGTTTGTGATGGTGGTAGTGGTGTTTGTGTTGGTGGTGGTTGTGGTAGTGGTGTTTGTGATGGTGGTAGTGGTGTTTGTGTTGGTAGTGGTTGTGGTAGTGGTGTTTGTGATGGTGGTAGTGGTGTTTGTGTTGGTAGTGGTTGTGGTAGTGGTGTTTGTGATGGTGGTAGTGGTGTTTGTGTTGGTAGTGGTTGTGGTATTGGTGTTTGTGATGGTGGTAGTGGTGTTTGTGTTGGTGGTGGTTGTGGTAGTGGTGTTTGTGATGGTGGTAGTGGTGTTTGTGTTGGTAGTGGTTGTGGTAGTGGTGTTTGTGATGGTGGTAGTGGTGTTTGTGTTGGTAGTGGTTGTGGTAGTGGTGTTTGTGATGGTGGTAGTGGTGTTTGTGTTGGTGGTGGTTGTGGTAGTGGTGTTTGTGATGGTGGTAGTGGTGTTTGTGTTGGTAGTGGTTGTGGTATTGGTGTTTGTGATGGTGGTAGTGGTGTTTGTGTTGGTAGTGGTTGTGGTAGTGGTGTTTGTGATGGTGGTAGTGGTGTTTGTGTTGGTAGTGGTTGTGGTATTGGTGTTTGTGATGGTGGTAGTGGTGTTTGTGTTGGTAGTGGTTGTGGTAGTGGTGTTTGTGATGGTGGTGTTTGTGGTGGTGGTGGTACCCGGGAAGGGCTGCTCGTTGGTCGTTCTCCACTCGACGCTGACTGGCTGCGCCCCGCCCTGCACCTGGCAGGAGAACTGCACGTTGTCGTTGTGCTGCACCGTCAGGCGGCTCGAAGGCTGCACCTTCACACGCGGGATCTCCTCGCCTGCACCGACACAACCACCACCACCACCATCAACAACACCAACACCACCACCACCAACAACACCAACATCAACAACACAAACAACACCACACGAGGGTGGCGCCGTCGTTGCTGACGAGGGGGTGTGTGAGTGTGTGTGTCAGCAGAGGAGGAGCGACGCTCACAACAACGAGCGGAGCGCCGGGTGGCTAAAGCACAGCAAGTTGGCGCAGTAGGGGGCACAGGTGGTGCATCAGCCAGTCATCTCGGTCATCTCAGTCAGTCGACCCGTGGCACCTGGGTCTGCCCCGTGATCTCCTGCCGGCAGGCGTTCGACACTTCACGTGGCCTCAAGGTGCACATGGTCTGGCACAAGCGTCGTGGTGACGTCACCGCCACTTAGTGGCGAATGGCGGTTGTTGTTGTGAGTGAGTGTGTGAGTGAGTGTAAGTGAGTGCGAGTGAGTGTGTGTGTGAGTGAGTGTGTGAGTGAGTGTGTGTGAGTGAGTGTGTGTGTGAGTGAGTGTGAGTGAATGTGAGTGTGTGTGTGAGTGAGTGTGAGTGAGTGTGAGTGTGTGAGTGTGTGAGTGAGTGTGTGTGTGAGTGAGTGTGTGAGTGAGTGTGAGTGAGTGAGTGTGTGAGTGAGTGAGTGTGAGTGTGAGTGAGTGTGAGTGAGTGTGAGTGAGTGTGTAAGTGAGTGTGAGTGTGAGCAAGTGTGTGAGTGAGTGTTAGTGTGTGTGAGTGTGTGAGTGAGTGTGAGTGAGTGTGAGAGTGTGAGTGAGTGTGTGTGAGTGAGTGTGAGTGAGTGTTTGTGTGAGTGTTAGTGTGTGAGTGTGTGTGAGTGAGTGAGTGTGAGTGAGTGTGAGTGTGTGAGTGAGTGAGTGTGAGTGAGTGTGTGAGTGAGTGTGAGTGAGTGTGAGTGAGTGTGTGAGTGAGTGTGAGTGTGTGAGTGTGTGAGTGTGTGTGAGTGAGTGTGAGTGAATGTGTGAGTGAGTGTGTGAGTGAATGTGAGTGTGTGAGTGAATGTGAGTGTGTGTGTGGGGGCCTCACGTCTGGACTGCTCCACGGAGGAGCCGGGCCCGCCCCCTGTGGGGCGCGACGCGGCGACGGTGACGGAGACGGTGGAGGAGGCGAGGGGCCGCCCGTGGGGGTCGAGCGCCGTGCAGGTGAAGTCGCCCGCGTCCTCCGCGGAGGCCCCCACGATGTGCAGCACGCTGCCAGACACCTGCACACGCGCGTGTACACGCACACACACGCATATGTACGCACACGTACGTGTACGGACGCACACACACACAAGCACGTTTATGCACATCACTAACAACAACCGCCATTCACCAGTAAGTGGCGGTGACGTTGCCACGGTGCTTGTACCAGGCTAGGTGCACTTTGAGGCTCGCTAACATGAGGTCACGGTACAGACCCAGGTGCCATGGTTTTTACTGAATGAGATGACTGGTAGATGCACCACGCACTCACTCACTCCCTCACTTACTCACCCACTCACTCACACACCCAGTCACTCATTCACCCACCCACTCACTTACCCACTCAGTCACACACTCACTCACTCATTCACCCATCCAGTCACTCACCCACCCAGTCACTCATTCACCCACTCACTCACCTACTCACCCACCCACTCACCCATTCACCCACTCACTCACCTACCCAGTCACTCATTTACCCACTCATTCACTCATTCACCCACTCACTCACCCATCCAGTCACTCATTCACCCACCCAGTCACCCATTCACCCACCCAGTCACTCATTCACCCACTCACTCACCCACTCACCCACCCACTCACCCATTCACCCACTCACTCACCTACCCAGTCACTCATTTACCCACTCACTCACTCATTCACCCACTCACTCACCCACTCACCCACCCACTCACCCATTCACCCACTCACTCACCTACCCAGTCACTCATTTACCCACTCACTCACTCATTCACCCACTCACTCACCCATCCAGTCACTCATTCACCCACCCAGTCACCCACTCACCCACCCAGTCACTCATTCAGCCACTCACTCACCCACTCACCCACAAACTCACCCATTCACCCACTCACTCACCTACCCAGTCACTCATTTACCCACTCACTCACTCATTCACCCACTCACTCACCCATCCAGTCACTCATTCACCCACCCACCGACTCACCCACCCACCCACCCGCTGGTTGCTGGCTAGCTGGCCGTGCGCCCTCTCCCACGACACGCGTGCCTCCGTCTGTCCGTGCGCGGCGCAGCGCAGCGCCACGGAGCCCCCCAGTGGCACCGTCGCGGAGGGGGGGTCGATGCGCACCACGGGGGGGCGGCGACCGGGCGACGTCGTGGGCGGGGGGCCGGGGGGGGGCAGAAGCGGCACCGCCCCACCTGGTGAGAAGGGGGGGTGGGGGAGGGGGGGAAGAGGTTGTGGGGGGGGGGATGCGGACGGGAGGGAGGGGGGGTCAGTGAGAGGTCGCTGATCCTTCATCACCGGAATCGGAATCTTTAGTTAGCGTGGAGAAAGATTCAGAGCTCTTTTTTGTTCATGGATGTCCGGCAGGGACTCGGTCAAAACAAACAAAGAATAGAAAACAACGACAGGCGTGCAAAGTGTAGGGCAGGTAAGCAAATCACGAAGGCAGCCACAAAACAACGGCACAACACAGTCCCAGAGCCCACCAAGACAACACACAGGCACAGCCCCTCTCAATACAACTGCGCATTAAAGTTGTAACTTTTCCGATATACGGGTAAGGACGAAAGTTCACATTCGCGAATGCCATGTGCTCCGATCCTGTGATCCTGCGACGGCGCATCGAGAGCCAATATCACGATCGTTGATCGCTCAGCGCGGAGGCATCGGTGCCGTGCTCGACACTCGTGCCCCACAGCAAGAAGTGCCCGGGTCCGATCCCTGATTCGGGCCCTCTATCTCTGTCCGTTCTCTCTCGCCCTGTTCGACGTCGGCTTCCCCAGAGGCCCTGCCGTTCCCTCCACCCGGAGCTGAACAAAGAAACCCACGAGCACTCGTGCAGAGTGGAACCGGTGTCGGCCAAAACCAACCTCCCCGAATGCTCAAAGATGGCCTGCGAATCACTCAAATGGGATCGCACAGCCGCCCATCGTGTGCAGGGGTACCGCCACGATACCCTCCGCTCGGATCGTTCGTCTCGCCGCGCTTGCGCCGATGGTGTCGTCGGGGGTTGCTGGGGGGTGGAGGGGGGCACTCACCGGGCCGCACGGCCAGCTCTATCCTCGCCTCGGCCGCCCCGGCCGCGCTGGACGCCACGCAGACGTACGCGCCGGCGTGGGACGTGCGCACCGCCGGCAGCACCAGCGTGCCCACGCCCGTCACCTCCGTCAGCGCCTACGGAGGGAGGGGGGGGGTCGGCACGGGGTCGCGTGGGGGAGGTGGCGGGAGGGGGGCAGGGGTGAGCAGGGGTCACGTGGGGTCCACGCCGCACGAACGGACCCACGCCACGCAAGCGCAGCACCTCGGTGCTGTGGCAGCACGCGGCAGCACGCGGCAGCACGCGGCAGCACGCGGCAGCATGCCCGCCGCACGCACGTCGCCGTGCACCTGCCCAAGGTGTCCGTGTCACGGTGGCTTGCCAGCTCATGCAGCACATGCGGCCACGGCCGGACGTTGCCCCCTAACCCCATCCCTCGCATGCAAAGCGGCGGCAGCGGGGTCGGCTGAGGGCCCCGAGCAGGGGTGCCGGGCCCATCGTGGCCGGCTGGACACCGCGAGGCCCCCCCCCCTCCTCCGCTGCGGAGTCTCCACCCCTGGCCGTGCTCCCCCTCGATGCGGTAAAAACCAGAGGTGGCGGTCGCTCTCCGGGTTTTAGCTGGTGCCGTATGGCAGGAGAGCCATTGCCACCGGCTGCGGTTAATCTGCGGACTCCCTTGCGGCTATCCCCGCGGCGTCGCACCCCGACGTCATGCGCAGTGTGACGCATGGCCTCGGGCACCGGCGCGCACGGGGAGCGACACATTAACGAGAGCGCCGGGAAATTTTCCGGCGGAAAGGTCGTGGGACGGAATCGCGGCCCGGTGAGAGAGAGAGAGACAGTTTACCGGTTGGCCGGCCCCGGAGCTGCCGATTCCCAGCGGAGGGGAGGGAGAGATGGAGCCGTGCATCGCCGCATGCTGTTCATTTTAGCAGCCACTGGGTTTTTGTTGCCGCTGCACATGCCGGCACTGTCATCGAGATTTCGGAGGAATTGTGCCCCCCCACCCCCCCTAACCCCCCCCCCCCCCAAACACCCCCCCAAACACCCCCCCAAACACCCCCCCAAACACCCCCCCACCCCCTGCAAATGCCCCTTTGCCCCCTTGCCCCGCCCAATCCGCCACGAGGTCTCACCGCACCTGGTTCTCACGGTGCAGGAGGTGAACGTGAGCTAGACTGTCACGCCTACCCACGGGGATGAACCCCCTAAAGGGCAGCACCTGGGGCACGGGGGGCAGCGGGGTACGGGGGAGAGGGCGGTGGGGAGACGGCGGTGGAGGGGAGGAGGAGAGGAGTGCACAGGAGGAAGGGGGAGAGGTGGGTGGAGCAGAGAGCACAGGCAGAGTTGACAGTGATGGACAATGGTGTGGAGGGAGAGAGAGTTAGTGTCGAACTGGTAGAGTGGAGCGGAGTGCAGGAGGCGATGCTCAACCCGGAGGACGGGGCCAGAAAGTGGAGGCGCCCTCATCCTGTGGAGCGACTCACACGGGTGGAGGGAGCCTCACGGCAGAGCGAGCCTCACGGCGGAGCGAGCCTCACGGCGGAGCGAGCCCCACGGCGGAGCGAGTCTCACGGCGGAGCGAGTCTCACAACGGAGCGAGCCTCACGGCGGAGCGAGCCTCACGGCGGAGCGAGCCTCACGGCGGAGCGGGTCTCACGGCGGAGCGAGTCTCACAACGGAGTGAGCCTCACGGCGGAGCGAGCCTCACGGCGGAGCGAGCCTCACGGCGGAGCGAGCCTCGCGGCGGAGCGTGCCTCACGGCGGAGCAAGTCTCACGGCGGAGCGAGTCTCACAATGGAGCGAGCCTTATGGCGGAGCGAGCCTCACGGCGGAGCGAGCCTCACCGCGGAGCCAGTCTCACGGCGGAGTGAGTCTCACGGCGGAGCGAGCCTCTCGGCGGAGCGAGCCTCACGGCGGAGCGAGCCTCACGGCGGAGCGAGCCTCACGGCGGAGCGTGCCTCACGGCGGAGCGAGTCTCACGGCGGAGCGAGTCTCACAACGGAGCGAGCCTTACGGCGGAGCGAGCCTCACGGCGGAGCGAGCCGCACCGCGGAGCGAGCCTCACGGCGGAGCGAGCCTCACGGCGGAGCGAGCCTCACGGCGGAGCGAGCCTCACGGCGGAGCGAACCTCACGGCGGAGCGAGCCTCACGGCGGAGCCAGTCTCACGGCGGAGCAAGTCTCACGGCGGAGCGAGCCTCACCGGGTAGCGAGCCTCACGGCGGAGCGAGCCTCACGGAGGAGCGAGCCTCACCGCGGAGCGAGCCTCACGGCGGAGCGAGTCTCACAACGGAGTGAGCCTCACGGTGGAGCGAGCATCACGGCGGAGCGAGTCTCACGACAGAGCGAGCCTCACGGCGGAGCGAGTCTCACGGCGGAGCGAGCCTCACGGCGGATCGAGTCTCACGGCGGAGCGAGTTTCAAGGGTCAGAGAGCATGGGCAGATTCACACACACGCACAGGTCAACTGAGATAGTGATGGACAGGACAGCTGAGACGGTGATGATCAGGACAGGTGAGAACGTGAAGGTCAGGTCAGGTGAGACAGTGGGGAACAGGACATAGTGAAGGTCAGGATAGGGGGATAGGGACAGGGGGGCTATTGTGGGAGGGGGGGGGCGTAAAGGGGAAGGGGCATGGGAGCGTCCTCACCACCGCCGCCGCACCTGTGGACGTCCTCATGTCACAGGTGAGTGTGCAGTGTCGCTCGGTGTGGGGGTCAATGTCTCGCTGCGTGAGTGCTCCCGGTCGCTGCTGGACCGCGGTAGGTGGCACGTGACGAGGAGTAGCCACAGCCATTGCGAGGGGCGTGGTGGATGTGCTGTGCCGGGCGGTGAGATATTATCCGGGTTATTGGCCTGGACACACCCGGCTGATACTAAGCCCTGTGCCTGTGTGTTCGTGTCTACGGGTGTGTGCGTGTGTGTCCGTGTGTGCGTGTGTGTCCGTGTGTGCGTGTGTGCATGTGTTGGCGTGTGTCCGTGAGTGCGTGTGTCTTCAGTTATGAGACTTCACCACGAGAAACAGAGTTAAGGTTAGGGATAGATTTGGGGTTAGGATTTGATCTACGATCGGGGTTAGGGTCAGTGTTCAGGTCGGGTCAGTGTTACGATCAGGGTAAGAGTAGGGTCAGTGTTAAGGGAGGGTTATAGTCAGGACTAGGGTTTGGGTCAGAATTAGAATGAGTGTTTGGGCTAAGTTTTACATTTATGGTCAGGGTTAGCGTTTGCATGCTGATCAGGGTTTGGAGAAGCTTCAGGTTAGAACTGGGGGTCAGGGTTTGAGGTCATGGCTATAATCCAGGTTAGTCAGTTTAACACGAAGTAGGCTTTCATGACCAATATCACCCATTATACAGTTGTTTTGGGTTAGATCGCGCAAATATATAAATGTGTCGTTAAACCCGCCACCACCCGACATAACCAATTAGCAAGGTTTGTCACGTAAACAGAAGTCCAACTGTGTCGTTTCTTAAATGTTTAAGGAACAAAACATTTTATAAGGAACGAAACAGGATGACTTCTCCACAAATTTGGCTGTCGCCTGATGAAGCTAGTTGTAATTACTGGCGAAACGTCGTACTCAGATTGTAAATGTTGTGGCTTGGCTCTCCAACACACCGGTGTGCTGTACAAGTACACTACACTATACACTACACTATATACTACACTATACACTACACTACTATACACTACACTATACACTACACACCAGTTCTGTACTAGTGACGAATTGGCCACGTTCCGTTTACGTGGCAAACCTTACTAGTTGGCGGTGTCGAGTGGTGGCGGGTTTAACGACACATTTATATAATTACGCGATCTAACCCAAAAACACTCTATTATTAAGAAATCCAGGTTGGTATTTGGGGTCAGGGGTCAGGATGAGGTTCGTGCTGGAATCTGGTCTCACGCAACGCCGTGGAGCCTGTGGCTGGGATCAAGGTTGGGATTACGTCCAGCGTGAAGGGTCGGAGCCGGGGTGAAGGGTCGGGGTGAAGGTTCAGGGTCAGGGTGAAGGGTCTGTGTTGGGGTGAAGGCTTGGGGTCAAGGGTTGGGGTGAAGGTTCGGGTGAAGGGTCGGGGTCAAGGGTCGCGGTTGGGGTGAAGGCTTGGTGTGAAGGTGAAGGGTCGGGGTAAAGGCTTGGGGTTAAAGGTCGGGGTGAAGGGTCGGGATGAAGGGTCGGGGTCGAGGCCTTACCTCGGCGGGGAGGGCCCCGTCCTGCCGGCGCCAGGTCAGCGTGGGCTTGGGGTCCCCGGTGGCGCGGCAGTAGAGCTTCACGTTCTCTCCCTCGACGGCCTCCAGGTGCGAGGGGTGAACCTCCACCACGGGGGGGCTACCCGTGCCTACCACACAAAGACAAAGATCCCCCACGTAGCCTTTGGAGGACTGTCGGGGCAAGTGCCGTGAGCGAGCGGCTCCTATGAAGGCCGGCACGGCGCACAAACGGGCGGGTGGCCACTAGCGCCTTGGCCGGCCGCCTTTGTTTCCCCAGCGGCGACGTTTACACATCGCACCAGGTGCTCATTTGAGTATGATTTGACCCATAGGGGAGGCCTGGGACTGGTTTAGATGATCGTCACTGCTGTTGGTGGCCGTGTGCGGGAATTAAATTTGGGTCGTCGGATTCGTAGCGCAGCGCTACCGCTACCGATCTTGTCACCTAACACAGACAAAGATCCCCCATATAGCCTTAACATACCATTGGGGCAAGTGCTGTTAGCGAGCGCCTATCTAGGCCAGAATGACACATGAGGTGGTGGGTGGCCAGCACCACGCCCTCTACCCCCAACCTAACACACACGAGAATTAAGAAGTTATTGGCAAAAATCGAAATCTCCTCCCTCTGAATATCGACTTTGAAAATTCTACCGCCACTGCATGGGGCGGTGAACACCACGCCCGGCCGCCTTTGTCTCGCTGGTGGCGATGTTTACACACCGCACTCGGTACTCATTTGAGGCTGAGTCGACCACCACCATCAACAACCACAAGGACATCAACACCGCAACCAAAACACCACCCATAACTGCCGAGGTCACCACCAACAACTGCCACAACCAGCAGAAACACATCACCACCACAACCACCACCCATGCCCCCCACGTGTGATCCTTGGGCCCCATGCCAGCATGCATACCCCGTGTCTCCGTGCCAACCCGAATGCACGTTGAACTTCTCCCGCATCGTACGTAGCCAACCGTGCTAATCGGGGGTGCGGGGGAAGGACAACAAACTAAACACAAGAAACCACTTCTAAAGGAGTGAGTTTTCAATCGAGATGTTTTCAAAGTGCGTAGCTCCCAGGTGCTTCCTAATATCGGAAGGGGAAGAGCGTTCCAGACGGCCGCAGAAGCGCATCCCAAAGCGCGCGATGCGGTGACCGTCTTTGTTCGATGGCCAGCCCACAGCGAGCACATCCGAAAGCGCGCAATGCGGTGACCACCGTCTTTCACGGCTCGCCCAGGGGTGGACAACCTGCATCACCTGAGCCGCGCGCTGCTCTTCAAGGGCCGCCTCGTCACCGTTGCTTGTTAAGGACTCGCCACTGTCTCGTATCCACCGCGTGGCATTGCGGCCCTTGAAATATTTGCGGGGTTTTATTTTTTCACCGAATTCGAGAAAAATGTCTCTTGTTTTGTGTTGATTGCTGAGCCCCCCTGGGGATAGCCATAAAAGCACAGCGGGTGCCACCACCCACCACCACCACCAGCAGCGTGCCCCCCACTCCGCCCCCTACCTCGGACGTAGAGCACCGCGCGGCCCTCGGCTTGCCCGCCGGCGCTGTGCGCGCGGCACGTGTACTCGGCCTCGTGGGCGCGCTGGGCCGCGGGGATCGTGAGCACGGGGCCGAGCACACGCACCCCGGGGGCCAGCGCCATGGAGCCGCCCGGGCCTCCTGTCAACAACAACAACATCATCATCGTCAACATCGTCATCGTCAACATCATCATCGCCAAGATCACCGTCAATATCATCAACATCACCATCAACATCGTCACCGTCATCGTCAACAGCATCATCATCGCCAAGACCACCGTCAATATCATTAACATCATCGTCAACATCATCATCGTCAACATCATCATTGCCAAGACCACTGTCAATATCATCAACATCACCGTCAACATCATTACCAAGACCATCATCATCAATAACATCATCACCACAACCATCAACATTATCACTGTGTGTACGTACTGTGTGTGTGTACGTAGTGTGTGTGTACGTGGTGTGTGTGTACGTGGTGTGTGTTCGTAGTATGTGTACGTGGTGTGTACGTGGTGTGTGTGTGTACGTGGTGTGTGTACGTGGTGTGTGTGTGTGTAGTGCTGTGTGTACGTGCTGTGTGTGTGTACGTGGTGTGTGCACGTGCTGTGTGTGTGTACGTGGTGTGTGTGTACGTGGTGTGTGTGTGTACGAGGTGTGTGTGTGTGTGTACGTGCTGTGTGTGTGTACGTACATGCTGTGTGTGTACGTGGTGTGTGTACGAGGTGTGTGTGTGTACATGGTGGGTGTGTGTACGTGCTGTGTGTACGTGCTGTGTGTACGTGCTGTGTGTGTGTACGTGGTGTGTGTATACGTGGTGTGTGTATGTGTGTACATGTGTGTGTACGTGCTGTGTGTGTGTACGTGCTGTGTGTACGTGTTGTGTGTACGTGCTGTGTGTACGTGCTGTGTGTACGTGCTGTGTGTGTACGTACTGTGTGTACGTGCTGTGTGTGTGTACGTGCTGTGTGTACGTGCTGTGTGTACGTGCTGTGTGTGTACGTGGTGTGTGTACGTGCTGAGTGTACGTTCTGTGTGTGTACGTGGTGTGTGTACGTCCTGTGTGTACGTGCTGTGTGTACGTGGTGTGTGCGTACATGGTGTGTGTACGTGCTGTGTGTACGTGCTGTGTGTGTAGGTGCTGTGTGTGTGTACGTGCTGTGTGTGTGTACGTGGTGTGTGTACGCGCTGTGTGTGTATGTGCTGTGTGTATGTGCTGTGTGTACGTGCTGTGTGTACGTGCTGTGTGTGTATGTACGTGCTGTGTGTACGTGCTGTGTGTACGTGCTGTGTATGTACGTGGTGTGTGTATGTACGTGCTGTGTGTACGTTTTGTGTGTGTGTATGTACGTGCTGTGTGTACGTGCTGTGTGTACGTGCTGTGTGTGTACGTGCTGTGTGTACGTGCTGTGTGTATACGTGGTGTGTGTATACGTGGTGTGTGTACGTGCTGTGTGTACGTGCTGTGTGTATGTACGTGGTGTGTGTATACGTGCTGTGTGTACGTGCTGTGTGTACGTGCTGTGTGTGTGTATGTACGTGCTGTGTGTGTGTGCTGTGTGTACGTGCTGTGTGTACGTGCTGTGTGTACGTGCTGTGTGTATACGTGGTGTGTGTACGTGCTGTGTGTACGTGCTGTGTGTATGTACGTGCTGTGTGTACGTGCTGTGTGTACGTGCTGTGTGTACGTGCTGTGTGTGTACGTGCTGTGTGTACGTGCTGTGTGTACGTGCTGTGTGTATGTACGTGCTGTGTGTATGTACGTGCTGTGTGTACGTGCTGTGTGTATGTACGTGGTGTGTGTATGTACGTGCTGTGTGTACGTGCTGTGTGTATGTACGTGGTGTGTGTGTGTACGTGCTGTGTGTATGTACGTGCTGTGTGTGTACGTGCTGTGTGTACGTGCGTCTCACCCGTCCACTCCACGACGGGCTGCGGGTCCCCCGATGCCGAGCACCTGAACTCGGCCTTCTCCCCGACCCCGACCGTCAGGGACGCCGGCTCCACCACCACGAGGGGGGGCGACACGGCGCTCACTGCCGGGGGGGGGGGGGCACAGGGACACGGGAGGGAGATGGAGGGGGGGAGGGCATAGGGCGTGGGGTGTACGGGGGACATGGGAGGAATGGGGGTCGCAGAGGGAGGCAGGGAGGGGATGAAGGGGTACGGGGGGTGGATTGGGGTCGGGGGGGAGGGGCATGATGGGGTCTCGGCAAGCGGCATATGGGGATAGAGGGTTGTGGAGATAAGTAGGGTTAGGGAGTTGAAGGTTAGGGGCAGGGTTATGGGTAGGGGTTATGGGTAGGGGAAGGGGTTATGGGTAGGGGCAGGGGTTATGGGTAGGGGCAGGGTTATGGGTAGGGGCAGGGTTATGGGTAGGGGCAGGGTTATGGGTAGGGGTTATGGGTAGGGGCAGGGGTTATGGGTAGGGGCAGGGGTTATGGGTAGGGGCAGGGTTATGGGTAGGGGCAGGGGTTATGGGTAGGGGCAGGGGTTATGGGTAGGGGCAGGGTTATGGGTAGGGGCAGGGGTTATGGGTAGGGGCAGGGGTTATGGGTAGGGGCAGGGGTTATGGGTAGGGGCAGGGGTTATGGGTAGGGGCAGGGGTTATGGGTAGGGGCAGGGTTATGGGTAGGAGCAGGGGTTATGGGTAGGGGCAGGGGTTGTGGGTAGGGGCAGGGTTGTGGGTAGGGGCAGGGGTTGTGGGTAGGGGCAGGGTTGTGGGTAGGGGTAAGGGTCCCCGTTACCCGTCGAGGCAGGGTGCGGGTTACGAGTTGGAGGGGCGGACAGCGGGGGGGGGGGGGGCAGTGGGGGGGGGAGGGCGGACAGCGGGGGGGGGGGGGGCGACAGCGGGGGGGGGGGCACAGGGCGCAGAGTGAAACACGTTGGATGGAGGCGAGTGGCCACGCGCAACGGGAGCTCGCGAACCACGGCCACGCTTCGCTTGGCAGAACGTCCACGCCGAAGCCTCCGCGCCGCCTCGCCCCGCGGCGACACCCACGGCAGCCAGCGCACACTGACACACACACACTCGTGGCACAAGTAGCTACACAAGTAGCTGCTACACAAGGCCATGTGCACGTTGAGGCCACCACGTGAAGTGTCGAACGCTCGCCGGCAGGAGATCACGGGGCAGACCCAGCAGGTGCCACGGGTCGACTGATTGAGACGACTGGCCGATGCACCGGCTGTGCCCCTTACTGTGCGTTCAACACGGGAGACGTGATGGAGACCAGAGAGAGACACGGAACGCGCAGGAGACACCCTATACGCCAGGAGTCGGGCAACCCTCGGCTCTGGAGTCGCATGCGGCTCTCTAAGGCACTGCTCCGTGACGTTACTCGTTAAGGATCAATTGTCTCGTATTCGCAGTGCATTTGGGCTCTTTAAATATAGATTTTTTTTTCTTCCGAAATCCCCAAAAATGTCTCTTCTTGTTATCTTGGATGCCGACCCCTGTCCTATGCAATACGTCACGGGTACCCAGTGAGCAACACCTTGTATGAACCGTGGCCCATCTGTGCATGATTCACACGTTACAATCTCCATGCACTGGAATGGGATTCTTGATTTGAATCTTTCGTGACTGCAAGGATTCATACTCTTAGGTTTTTCGGTAAAGTTACGTAGGTAAAATAATAATAATAGAAATGATAATAGGAAATTTGTATTATTAATAATAATTATTATATTTATTATTTTTATTATTATTTATTTTTTCCTGGAATGGGATTCTAATAGGGACACTGGATAATCTCACACAATCCACATCCTATTGAATGGGAATGCTGGAATTACCACTGAGATGAATGGGATTATTTGGTATGGTGCGAGAGTAGCTGTAACCCCCATACCTGTCAACCCCTTATCAGTTCCTTAACTTATTACAGACCGATTCAGACCTTAGTGGTCACCCCGTGCCATTATAAATCTCAAAGTTCATCCTACAATGTCCAATCGCAGGGGAGAAACATAAAAAAATGCCCGTAATTAAACGGTTGTACGCCGTATGGACACGAAAACTCAATTTCCCTGGACAAGAATACGGGGTTAACCGTGTGGGTTGACACGGCATGAACCCCCTGCGTTCCAATGGCAATACCTCGCTCCGAGTGAATAGGTGAATCTTAGAGCCTAGCAATATACTCCGGCGGAATGCACAGTTGTACTGTGTGTACACATTGCTTACAGAGTTTCATGTTATACAAAGAGCCCCCCCCCACCCCGCATACACCACGCCCGGCCGCCTTTGTCTCCCCAGTGTCGCACCAGGTATTCATTTGAGGCTGAGGGGAGGCCCAGGACCGGTTCAGATAATCGTCACTGGTTGCTGGCCGTGAGCGGGGATCGAACTCGGCTCGCCGGGTTCGTAGCGCTGCGCGAGAACCACTCCGCATCGTTTGTTTGTGTGTATCCCTCGTGGTGGGTCTTTGTAGGATGAACGTTGGGATTTATAAAGGGCACGGGGTGACCACTAAGGTCTGGATTGGTCTGTAATTAGGGAACTGATAAGGAGTTGACAGGAACGCACTCCACTATCGCTCCAAAAAAAGACAAAGATCACCCGTGTAGCCTTAACAGACTGTCGGGGCAAGTGCTGTTAGCGAGCACCTATGAAGGCCGGAACGGTACACGAGGGGGTGGATGGCCAGCAATACGCCCGACCGCCTTTGTCTCCCTAGTAGCAATGTTTACACACCGCACCAGGTACTCATTTGAGGCTGAGTTCGACCTAGGAGAGGCCCGGGACCGGTTCAGATAATCGTCACTGGGTGTTGGCCGTGAGCGGGAATCGAACCCGTGTGGCCGGGTTCATAACGCAGCGCTAACCGCTACACCACCGGCAGTGGCTGTGTGTATGTGTGGCTGTGTGTACAGCCACACACACACACATACGGCAGTGGCTGTGTGTCTGGCTGTGTGTACAGCCACACACACACACGGCAGTGGCTGTGTGTGTGAGGCTGTGTGTACAGGCACGCACGGCAGGGGCTGTGTGTGTGGCTGTGTGTACAGGCACGCACGGCAGGGGCTGTGTGTGGCTGTGTGTGTGGCTGTGTGTACAGGCACACACACAGGCGTGGCTGTGTGTGAGGCTGTGTGTACGCCAGGTGCGAGCGGGGTGGAGCCGTGACGACTGTGCGCACCCTGGCCGCCCCAGCGCCCCTCCACTCGGGGCCTGAGGTCACACCCAGGGGGATTGTGGGTAATCAGGTGAGGCGGGCTGCAGGTGAGCGGGAGGGGCGGGGCATGCGAGGGGGCGTGTCGTGGTGGGTGGGGCCTGGGTGGGGTGGGTGGGGCCTGGGTGGGGTGGGTGGGGCCTGGGTGGGGTGGGTGGGGCCTGGGTGGGGTGGGTGGGGCCTGGGTGGGCGGGGTTAGTAGAGGAAGGGGGGGCGTCAGGTGAGACGGGTGACTGGAAGCGCGCGTGTGTGTCAGTGTGTGTTTCAGTGTGTGTCAGTGTGTCAGTGTGTGTTTCAGTGTGTGTCAGTGTGTCAGTGTGTGTTTCAGTGTGTGTCAGTGTGTCAGTGTGTGTTTCAGTGTGTGTCAGTGTGTGTTTCAGTGTGTGTCAGTGTGTCAGTGTGTGTTTCAGTGTGTGTCAGTGTGTGTTTCAGTGTGTGTTTCAGTGTGTGTGTGTCAGTGTGTGTCAGTGGGGAGCGGTGGTGTAGTGGTTAGCGCGCTGCGCTACGAACCCGGCGATCCGGGTTCGATTCCCGCTCATGGCCAACATCTGAACCGGTTCTGGGCCTCCCCGAGGTCGACTCAGCCTCAAAATTAGTACCTAGTGCCATGTGTAAATATCGCTACTGGGGAGACAAAGGCGGCCAGGCGAGGTGTTGCCCACCCACCCCTCGTGTGCCCTGCCGGCCTTCATAGGTGCTCGCTAACAGCACTTGCCCCTGCAGTCTGTTAAGGCTACACGGGGGATCTTTGTCTTTGTTAGGATGACGGTGATGATTATCCGCACCGGTCCTGGACCTCTCCGAGGTCGACTCGGCCTCAAATAAGCACCGAACTTAGAAATCAATGCCACTAGGGAGAGACAGAGGCGACCGGGCACAATTGCTGGCCACAGCGCCCTCTTTGCGTGCCGTGCCACGGCCTTCATAGGTGCTTGCTGACAGCACTTGCCCCAGATGTCTGCTAAAGCCGATACGGGGAGTGGTCGTCTTTTAGTGAAGTTGGGATATAGGGTGTGTGTGAGGTTGTGATATATGGGTGTGTGTGAGGTTGGATATATGGCAGGCTGTTCCACCAGGGTACGCGTGGTTGTATCGGTCATCCATGGGTGATGAACGCCTGATGGTTTGCACCCCACCGCATTCGCGTTTTGGTGGAGGAGTCGCCCGATCGTTCCGCTCATGGAGGTAGCCCCCCCCCCTGCACACCACCCCCCTTCGTCTCCTTCCTCCACGCGGTGCCGTTGCCGTTCCTGTCGGGACGCGGTTGACGAGAGCGCGCCCCCCCCCAAATTCTCATCGGGCGGCAGGAGAAAGAACCCAGCGCCGTCCCGGGTCGTCAGTAACCTTCTCCCTGTGAGACGCCGCTGGTCCCCCCCCCACCCCCTCCGTGTCTCACGCCACCCGGTGGAGTTGGGGTCCTCGTCGGCCGACGACAGAAGAGTCCAGGACGTGTCTCCACCACCACGGACGCCTCTCGACTCCAGACGGGATGGTGGCGGTGGGGATTTTCGATGTCGATACGCAGGGGGAGGAGATTTAGATTTTGCCAAGAACTTCTTAAGTTTCGGGTCTCTGTGTGTGTGGTTTGGGAAATGCGGCCGTGGTGCTGGCCACCCACCCCGGCCTTCAAAGGTACTACTCGCCAACAGCACTTACCCCAACAGTCTGTTAAGGATATACGAGGGATCTTTGTCTTTAGTATACGACTGTGTGTGTACGTATGATCGGATTAGATGAGTGGCCGTGTGTGTGTGAGGTTGGGTTAGGTGGGTGGCTGTGCATGTGTGTGACAGGTTGGTTCGAAGCGTGGCGCGGTGATTAGCGCTACGCTGCACTACGGACCTGGTATCCCGAGT